AAGGCAGCAGAGATCTGTCTCCCTGGAGAAAATGACTGCTTTAGAAGGTGGACTCTGTGGCATTATACCCAGCTGAGGCCTCTGCCTTCCCCAATCCCACCTCAAAACCTCTAGGGACTCCCCAGGCCAGGCCCCAAGGCTCCCTCCCTCCCTGAAAGGCCAAAGGAGGCCTGCAAAAGGGCCCTTCCGCCACACCCTTTGACTCACAGAGCCGGTTAGAAGCCTCTCCCCTTCCCGCCCTGAACGTTCTAACCTCTCTCACACAGTTGATGTCTGAAGCAGATCCCTGCAGAGGCCATTTCAAAAGGTTTTTGGGGGAATTCAGCCATCCCTGGAGGGATTTTCTTAGTTTTTGCATTTTTCTGCAGATACAGGAAGTCTACTGAGTATGTAGGAAAAGCTCCTGGGCCAGAGGGAGCTTCCTTTTACTGGGAATAAACATCCGAACGGCGCCATCTGTTGGAAATTAGATATATAGATGGCTAATAGCCACTGACAGATGTACCCTCCCCCCATGAATTTTCTAATCCCCTTTGACTGCAGTCTAGCAACTATCATCATATCTTGTGGCAGTGAATTCTGTAAGATAATTATAAGTATGGTATAATTGTCTGTTATAGCAGATGCTAAAACCTTCCTAACTTTGCTTCGAGGACCAGAAATGTCTGCTTTCTGGAAGCTGGATTTCATTCTCCAAATACACAGCTGGTTCCCTTTCCTCATGCCATGCAGTTTTTGGATTAGTACTGAAATGGGGATTTGTATGAATTTAATATGTGACTTGAATCTATATAATGCCATCTAATGAGAAACTTGCCCTGACCAGGATAATCCAGGCTAGCCCGATTTCATTGGAGCTTGGAAGCTAAGCAGAGTCGGCCATGGTCAATACTTAGAAGGGGGACTACCAGGGTCATGACATGGAGCCAGGCAATGGCAAAACAGCTCTGAACGCCTCTTGCCTTAAAACCCCCACAGGGTTGCCATAAGTCAGCTGCGACTTGACAGCAAAGGAAAAAAGAGAGGACTTTATTGCACACATAGCCTCTTCCATTCCTGCCAGAGTTCTGTTCAGTGTGGGAGAGAGGGAAAGTTGGTGAAGGCCACAGCCATTGGGGGGCCAGCCTTCCCGAGTGGATTATTTTCCAGAGGGAGGAGGGGGAAGGAAGAGGGAAGGCAACTTCCAAAGGGCAGGGAGAGTGAAAGGCAAACCAGTAGAGGTATGCGAGGTAAGTTACTACTAGAGTGAATCCAAGAGAATTTGCAGTGAGAATATGAAGAATCAAGCAGCGCATTTCCTATGCATTCTTAAAGAGCATCATAAGAACATAAGAGACGCCAATGTTGGATCAGGCCAAAGGCCCATCCAGTCCAACACTCTGTGTCACACAGGGGCCAGAAATACCAGGTGCCATCAGGAGGTCCACCAATGGGGCCAGGACATTAGAAGCCCTCCCACTGTTGACCACCCCCCCCAAGCACCAAGATGACAGAGCATCACTTGCCCCAGAGTCCCTATCTATACTTTGTGGCTAATAGCCACTGATGGACCTCTGCTCCATTCAGCATCTTGCTATGCCAGTGGGCAGGGGGGGAGCAATATCCAAGGTTACCGAAACCAATCCCCTCCAATTCTCTTGTTCCTTATTTGACTTCCCCAGTCATTGTCTCTAACAGAAGAGTAAGTTTTTATACCCCTCTTTCCACAACCTTAAGGATTCTCGGTGGCTTACAATCGCCTTTCCCTTCCTCTTCCCACAACAGTCACCTTGTGCAGTAGGTGGGGCTGAGAGAACTGTGACTGGCCCAAGGTTGCCCAGCAGGCTTCATGTGGAGGAGTAGGGAATCAAACCCCATTCTCCAGGTTAGAGTCCGCCACTCACCGTGCTGGCTCTCTGATAGCAACAAAAGCTGGGGGCATTTATTTAGTTAGAACATTTTTATTCCACTCAACATTTTCCTGCAGATTGAAAAAATGAAAGCAGATATGCTAGATAATTGAAGTGGGGTGGCACTCATAAAACAATGAGCAAAACCAGAGCTAGTATGATAGCATCACCTTACCCAATCTAGTATCCAACTTGCCACTGTAAAAGTCTGGCGGATGATCCCAAGATATGCTTAGGGGGCATGCAATGCAGGTCATCTAGATGAAGCTAAGCAGGTTTGGGTCTGGTCAGTGCCTGGACAGGAGACTCTTATGTGTACCAGTCTGAATTCCATGACAGGTGAGATGTGAATGCAATAATTTAGTATATGTGCTGCCGAAGCGAGCACAATGCAATAAATAAATAAATAATGTGCCTTGCAGTCCTGGGAGAAGAGGGGCCAATTACTGTCAAGATTCCACTTGTACTGTTGGAATATAAAGCAAGAGCCTTTTAGAAGAATGCAGCTGGTGTGGGAGCTCATATCAGGAGAGATAATATGGGGGTCCCATATAGGCCACAAAGAGCTTCAAAGGTCCGAACCATCACTTGCAATTGGAGCATACTGGCAGCCAGTGCTGTGAATGTATAATGCAGCCTGGGTAAATTCATATTTCTTGGTGTTCATAAGGAAATGCACAGCCTCTTTTTGTGCTAGCTGAACCTTTGGGATCATCTGCAAGAGAAGCCCCACACAGAGCGCTTTACCGTAGTCAGACCTCAAGGGCTGCCCTGGAACACGCTTCATAAACGTCAGCTAGTTCAGAATGTGGCTGCCAGGCTGTTGACCGATTCACCGTGGCTTGCACGCATCCAGTCCATTTGTGGCAACTGCACTGACTTCCAGTTGGTTTCTGGGTCAAATTCAAGGTGCTGGTATTAACCTTTAAAGTCCCAAATGCTCGGACCATCATACCTAAAGGACTGCCTCTCCCATTATGACCCCCTGTGGTGTCTTCATTCTGCTGCACATGGGGTTTTGGTGGTGCCTGGTTCTCGATTCACCCATTTGAGTGAAGGCCTTTTCCATCACAGCCCTAACCTGGTGGAAAGCTCTGTCTGAGGAGACTCATGCCCTGCAGGACTTATCTGCGCTCCGCAGGCCATGAAAGGCAGAGTTATTCTACCAGGCAATCCACTAATGTAATTTTGGTAGACCCTACCATCAGCACTATTTTATGCCGAAAGCATTAGTTCGCTGTATGCTGAGTTTTTGATTGGATTTTATTGAAATAGTGGTTTTGTTATTGCTATTGTATTGCTATATTGTTAGCTGCCCTGAGCCCCATTCTGGAGAAGCGTTGGGGATACAAATCTAATAAAATAAGTAAAAATTAATAAAATGTTACAAAACCATGGATCAGCATTTTTATCCTGCTCTACTCTTGTCTTTCCACTCCCTTTATTTGGCTTTCCTCACTGTTAAACTTTACATTCTAAATTCCTGTCTTTGTGCTTGTTCAGTAAAGCGGCTTGTAAGTGTATGGTACAATAAAAAGGAGAGTGGGGACTGGTTCTCAGTGACACCAGAGGGCAACACCAGACATAATGGGCATATAGGATGGTAGATTTCATTAGGAGAAACTTCTTAATAGCAAGAGCAATACAACAATTGGGATCAATGGGCGTGGTAAAGGAAGGGGTGGCCATTTGTCATGGATGCTCTACCTTTGGATTTCCTCCACTGAGAAGGGAGTTGAACTAGAGGACCTATACACCCCCTCTCAACTCTAGGATTATGATGATGATGATGATGATGATCATGATGATGATGATGATGATGATGATGATGATGATGATGATGCTGTTCTTACAGAGCTGGGAAAGGAGTCTTTTCAGCCATGAAGCTTGGCAAGGCACGCGCTTCAAAGGATGACCACAGGAAGCAAGGTACGTCTGCCCTCCCACCTATAAGTTGCCCTTGTCCCAGCAGGTAGCTGAGAGATCTTTGCAGGATTGAGTCTGTAGACTATCAGGATTCAGATGAAATCTTAACTGTGACCTTGTGCCTCTGGCAGATGAGCCAGCCATTCTGGAAGCCGAAGACTTGGATCGGAAAGCAATGCGGCTTGGAGGCGGCTTGGATCCAGACACAATCTCCCTGGCATCAGTCACAGCTGTCACCACCAATGTCTCTAACAAGAGGTAAGGAGAGGTGCCACACTGGAAATGATGTCATACCCAGAATGGAATCCATGTAAAGAGGATCACAAGACAGGAAGTGACATCACATCTGGGTCAGATTCCATGTCTCAAATTTCAGATCTAAGTTCTCACCCTCGCTTCCAGTATTATTTTATTGAAATCCTTAATGGCTCACTCCATCCAAAAGGATTAGCACAACTAACAATATACTAAGCATAAAGCATCAAAAATGCTTTGAATTACTTTCCCTTCCTCTTTCTAGCCCCCAGAAGTCTCTAAGGGGGGGAAAGTCTTATATAGAAGATAGCCAGGATCAGATTTTGATGAGTCTCCAAGGAAACAGAATTCTAAAGTTGAGGATTAGCCTTGAATAACTCTCAGCACCTTAAAGGAACTAAAAGGGGCATAGGGTTATATCCAACCAGCTTTTTCCACTGGTGAAAAGGGGATTTGGGAGTCCCTTTGTCCACCAAAAGGACTATGCTGGAGATCATGGGATGTATGTGGACAAAAGCCATGTGGGAGAGAGGCTGTAATTGTCAGCTAGCTGCCATTTAGGTGTGTTCTTCCCTTCCCTGTTCCCACTTGGTTGCAGCTCAGCAGCTTGCAGTAAACATGCCAGGGAGACCGTGGGAGCTAGACGCCGTTATCAGTCTGGCTTCGTGAGGTAGGGAGGGCTTGCAGTCCACATTTGGTGTGAATCTTTCTGCTCTCAGGAAACCCTGCGACTCTCCTGCTCATGATGTAATCTCCCGCCAGGAGTCTTCCCACGCGCGGGCTCGAAGTTCATTTGCTTAGCTAGTTGCCTTGCCCGCTATATGTATTGGGGTGTTCCCGCCTTCTAGTTATTCCTAACAATAATCCTGTGAACATGGTACCAGTCTTGTACACTAATAAAGCATAACGCTTCTTAGGAAACGTGTGTGAAGAGTTACTTGCTGTGGAACCTGACAGTAATAACAACCAGAATCAGGCAAGCTTGAGTGAAAAAATTGGCATGACCCAACCCAAAAATTGGCATGACCCATGACCCACGTAGCTGCTTTGCATGGGGAGCAGTCCAGTTTAAATAAGATAGTGGCTTGGTCCAGGCATCATGTGAAACCCTACTTTAATTAATCTAACTATGGTTATTGTGATTGTTGAATGAGGCCATTCCATTAACAAGGGCTCGTGAGAGTCCATCGTACCAGGATGGGATGTTGCTTGTTAACCAAAGTTAGTCTTCACTAAAGTTTCTGTGATGCCTGAATACAGCCATCCTGATTGAATCCTGGCTTTTTCTGTGACAATTGCGTCCCAGATCCTAGAGAAAAAGAAATTAGTCTAGTAGCTGTTATAGATTTTCCAGGCTTCGTGGCCGTGGTCTTGGCATTGTAGGACCTGATGTTTACCAGTAGCTGTGACTGGCATCCTCAGAGGTATAACACAGAAAGATGGAGTACTCTCTGTGTCAAGGTGAGAAGCAAAATGGTAGGCAGGTAGTTTGTATCTACTCAGGAAGGTAGGGCTGAGTTATCTCAGGTCCTACAATGCCAAGACCACGGCCATACAACCCATAAAATCTACAACAGCTAATGAACTCCAGCCATGAAAGCCTTCAACAACAAATTCATCTAGTGTTTGTCAAGGATTTCAGTGGCTGTCTGTAACCTGAATTCTGGTCTCACAAACTAAACATAGTTGATATAAGTCATACCTTTGTGTTATGTCTGAAACAAGTCAATGTGAAGAGTGTTGAGTGCTCAAGAACATTGTATCAATGTTTGTTGTTATCATCATCCTTATTATTAACTTTTCAAGATCCAAGCCAGATATTAAAATGGAGCCCAGTGCTGGAAGACCCATGGATTACCAGGTAAGGTTCTTCCATTCTTCCCTTCTGTGCTACTTGAGTGAAGTTCTGTTCCTAACCCTGCTGCCTTTTTAGTCTGCATTTGGGCTGGTCCAAGAGTTCACAACCTGCTACCTTCCATTGGCCTAACTCCTGCTCTCTAGTTCTGCTGACGCACGATGCCTGGGAACCAGCCCTGTACCCATTTCCACATACACCCTGCCTCTCCATGAAGTCCATCCCTGGGGGACCTTGGGTCAGCCTATGGTACCAAGTGGCTTTCCTCCTTCCCATTGAATCTTCTTTTCCCATTCTCTGAAGCCTTCCTTCTGGTTGATGCCTCTTCTTTTCATCTAGCAAATTGCTGTGGCTTATTTCACTGTACTGGCATGGCTACCACTTTTCCATGGCTGGGTACCACATTGCTCAAATGATACCTTCAGGGTGGATCCATGTCTGTAGGGCAGATCACGGGCTCAGAGATTGGCAGCTGCCACAGCTATAGTGCCCCTGGAGGGGGCACTGCTAAACTAGTGTAGCATGGCTGCATCTAGCACACACTCTGTTTCTCTGGATATTAGTGACAGGATTCAATTCCTCTGGGCCTGTCCTATTCATGGTGCTGTGCAACCGTTTATGTGCCAGGCCAGTAGCAACCAGCATCTTCTGCAATCTGCCTACCTTCGTCTGCATGAAGAGACAAAAGAGGCCAAGTATCCCCATGGGAAGTGCTGTGGCACAATGGCAGAACATCTGCTTTGCATGCAGAAGGTCCCAGGTTCAATCCCCAGCATCTCCAGTTAAAAATGAGTCATGCAGTAGGTGGAGGAGGAGGAGATTGGATTTATACCCCGCGCTTCACTACCCAAAGGTGTCTCAGAGCGGCTTACAAACTCCTTTCACTTCCCCTCCCCACAACAGACACCCTGTGAGGTGGGCGGGGCTGAGAGAGCTCTTGACAGAAACTGCTCTTTTTCAAGGACAGCTGTGCCAGAGCTTGTGACTGACTCAAGGTCACATCAGCAGGTGCAAGTGGGGGAGTGGGGAATCAAACCCGGTTCTCCCAGATTAGAGTCTACGCACTTAACCACTACACCAAACTGGTGTAACCTGTCTGTAACCTGAATAGGTGGTGTGAAAGACCTTTACCTAAGATCCAACAATGTCCTCAGTAGTCAGAGTAGACAAAGCAGCCGCAACAGGCAAATCGTCTGATTCAGTATACGGCAGCTTCATGTGTTCACTTGTTGAAATTGGTCCAATGGAGGGCATGTTGCCCAGTGTCTAAGCCCCCCCCCCCATTCCTTTATTTATTTATTTTATTAAGATTCCAGGCAGTTTCCAAAATAAAAGCAATGTACTCATCAGTATAAGACATCCAATGAATGATGCTATAGTACAGAATTAAAAGACAATGTGATCAACCAACTGACCAAGGTATGCTATGGTGGTGGGATCAAGTTGTAGCTGACTTATGCTGCTGCTGCAAGGTTTTCAAGGCAAGAAACAAACGAGGTGGTTTGCCATTGCCTACCTCTGCATAGCAACCCTGGATGTCCTTGGTGGTCTCCCATGTAAGTACCAACCAGAGGTGACCCTGCTTAGCTTTGGAGATCTGACAGGATTGGGCTAGCCTGAGTCATCTAGGAGAGGGGAAACTATGCTATAAACAATGTAAACATTGGAGCATATTGTATGTATGACTGCTTTTTTCTGTCTTTCATCAATGTGCACACGTGCATCAGTAACATAGAGTGGGTAAACTGGAAACTGAGGTAAATCACAGTTGTCCAGTTTCAGAGTTCATTTTTAGACATTCCTATAGGTAAAACAGAATTATGGAAGGGCGAAACTTCATGCAGAGTGAAATTCCAGAATAATGAAGGAATGGAACTGGGGAAATCCACTCCTCCCCTATTCCCGTTCTCTTTCCGGCAGTCAGTGGTCTTTTGGAAAGGAGTGCAGAGAGGGGATACAGGAAGAACTCCAGCTCTGAAGACCACAAGGGATGGTGTGCACATACTAAGTTTCCTTCCTGCCTTAGGTCAGCATCACTATAGTTGAGGCACGGCAGCTGGTGGGGCTCAACATGGACCCTGTGGTATGCGTGGAGGTGGGGGAGGAGAAGAAATACACATCCATGAAGGAATCAACCAACTGCCCCTACTACAACGAGGTGAGTCCACTCTGGATGGTTGTTGGCTTATCAGCTCCTTCCTGGATCTACATGTCACCTAAACAAAGTATTCCTGAATGTTCAGACTTAGGTTAGCATTACATGTGGAGCTGGCAGCATTAATGCAGGAGGAGAGAGGTAGCTGTAAAGGAGAATCAGCAGGCCCACCCATTGGCCTCTGCAAATGTCCATTACATCCTCAGCCAGGAACAAGCTTAAAAATGTCTCGAAGGAGGACAATTTTAAGGGAAGAAATGGCAAACAGAGGAAAGGTTCTGCATCCACCTGCCATTTCTCCCCGCAGATGCCTCACTACTGCCCCATTAGCAGGGGACCTCATGTTTGTCTTGCAACAAGTAGGTCCACACTCAAAGCTAACTGAAATCTGCCCAATCTTTGTGACCTGCTAAACAAAATGCAGTGTAGCATTCACGTATGATAGCTCACTAGGTGCTCAGGGTGTTACAGGCACCTGACAAGCCATGAGTCATGGATGTGGGAGGCATATCCTATAGATCCTTATTTTTATTGGCTACATTTCTCTTCCTATTATATAATACCTTCTGCCCCACCCCTGTAGATTTCCTGGTTTAAGTCACCATCTGTTAGATGCATTAGGGGAGCACCCCATTTGTGTTCCATTTCTTGCACAATGCACCCTTGTCCTGGGGTTCACTGCAGGAGATGGAGACCAAGGATTTGATGGGCCAGTGGCCAGAGCCATGTCTGAGATGCACCATCTCCTTCTTGGTACCTGCACATTTCTTTGCAAATGTTAAATCCTGTACAATGCTGTATCTCATTATGATCTCTTTAATACAAAAAAAAATGCATTATAAAAATGCATTTTGCTTCTTATACATTGTTTGTGTGTGATTTCATCTGAGATTCTTTTTAAAATAAATAAAATTTAAAAAATAAACACATTTTAATTTTTTTAAAAAAATACCAAGGACAAATCAACTGTCCATTTTGCCCAAATATTTTTCCAGTCTTGCGAGGGGGATTTAGATTTTCTCCAAGCATCTTTTTGTTTCAGCAGCAGGAGGACCTACAGCTGCCTTCATCTTCATCTACAACTGCTTTCATTTCCTTTATCGCTACAGTGGAGATCTGGTGAGAATTTTGTCTCTCCGCATGCCACAAACAATGCTAACTCTTTTTTCTCTTTCTAGTATTTTGTCTTCGACTTCCATGTTCCCCCAGATGTCATGTTTGACAAGATCATCAAATTATCGGTGAGCAAGATTCACTACGCATTTCCATTTTTCTCTTTGAGTTTCTCGATAAGTGGCCCATTTAAAAACTAGTACCTCAGAAAATGACTATCAGGGTTAGACAAGATGACCGCACATCAAGGTTGCTTTTTTGCAATGTTTTATGAGTGCACATGTGCACAGAAGTGGTATAAAGAACAAATAGACTGAATGAATTCCAATTTTTGGCAGTGTACGTGATCTAATTCTGGAATTAACTTCAGAAATTCTCCTAGTTAATCCAGAATTAAGACGTGGAACACAAAACAGAGAAATTTTGGAACAATAAAGAAATGGAAAGGGGGGGGGGAGTTTCTTATGCATAATGTAAAGTTTGTTTACCAAAGTTCCATGCTTAGAATCTAGTATTAGATGCGGAACTGTGCTTCCTGATAATCTTAGCTTTCATTTTTTAAAGAAGTGTTTCTAGTCCCCATGTTTGAAAGAATAGTTTCAAATTGCCCTAACCAGCATCTCAGGGGCTAAAGAGGTGACAGAATAAGATTGTCAGTGATTGAGCATGGAGTTTCAGTTTACTGCCTTCTTTCATGACTGGAAAAAAGCAAAATCAATTATGCAAATAGTAACTAAAATGAGCCATAAATTATGCAGACTAAGGCCAATAATGTCAGTTTCCTCAATTTGCATGATTGGTCTAGTTTGGGCCAGGATTTGGATCATATGGGCACACACTGTTAGCCCTGACAGTCTTGGATAATCTACTGCCATGTTCCTTTTGGTATTAGACATGTCACTCTGATGTTTCTGTTCTGATTGACTTAAAGTGAAACAAAACCATCATCTCACTGTGCATTCCCATTTAAAATATACTGGCAGCATTTGGGATAAATGGAATGTCAATACAGCAAATATTTTTAAAACTCAAACCACTACACACGTGAGACTCACTCCCTGCAACACCTGAGATCCTCTATGTGTTAATGATAACCCACATTCCACCCCTTTATCAATCTGCAGGTGATTCACTCCAAGAACCTGCTGCGTAGTGGAACTTTGGTGGGCTCTTTCAAAATGGATGTAGGGACTGTTTACTCCCAGCCTGGTATGTAGCACAAGATGCTGATTCATATATATAATGTGGGGTTGTCATAATGGCTCCCCTGCTTTTCTGGTATTCATCCTGGGGAATTCTGGGTTTGCGAGCATGTGATACCAACAGTGGGTGCTTGATTTAATTTTTTCTTGTTTTCCTGGTTGGTGTCTTCTTGTTATCACCAATGGCCTAAACAGTTAGAACAGACAGAATAACGTGAGCGCTACAAACTCATTTATTGGTTGCCTTTCTGCTTCTCTGGTAAGCACAGTAACAAATTTAAAATAAATAATTCAAGGATTATTATTTTTTTTTAAATCTAGTAAAATATACCATGGCCTGAAGATCAAAACATAGCAGTACATCCCTCAAACTCAGTCACAAAATGGCTGATTCTGCCTAAGCAACTGACGTAAAAATACTCGAGCCATGATCTAATATCTTCCCCTCTCCTTGCAGAGCATCAGTTCTACCACAAGTGGGCCATCCTGTCTGACCCAGAGGACATCACAGCAGGCCTGAAAGGTTACCTGAAGGTTGATGTTGCTGTGGTGGGCAAAGGGGACAACATCAAGACACCACACAAAGCTAACGAGACAGATGAGGACGACATTGAGGGGTGAGGAACAGCAGGGTGGTGTTGGCTTCCTCACTCATAATTTGAATGTCAAAAGACTGAAATTCAGATTCTGGGAAGGGTTACTTTCTCAGTGTCCAGCACAATTTTTCTTTCTATAAATTATTATTAATTGTTGATTAGATCCATTAATAAATAAATGCCATCCACACATGAACACATGAAGCTGCTTTATACTGAATAAGACCAGTGGTTCATCAAGGTCTCAGTCTACTGAGACTGGCAGTGGCTCACCAGAATCTTTGATAGAAGCCTTTCGCATCATTTATTACTTGATCCTTTTCACGGAAGATACCTGGGATTGAATCTAGGACCTTCTGCATGTCACGCAGATGGTCTATAACTGGGACACAACCCCTCCCTAACACACAGCCCAACGTGTTCCTCTCTTTGATTCCTGTGCTCCAGGAACCTGCTACTTCCAGATGGTGTTCCTCCAGAAAGGCAGTGGGCTCGCTTTTATATCAAGATCTACCGGGCAGAGGGTCTTCCACGTATGAATACCAGCATCATGGCTAATGTGAAGAAGGCCCTCATTGGTGAAAACAAAGATCTGGTAGACCCTTATGTCCAAGTGATGTTTGCAGGACAGAAGGTACACACTGGTGTTGGGTCGGAGGATCAAGATGGGCAGCCCCGTCTTGTATGGCACAAATATATTTCTTATCTACTTAATGAAACAATTGAAATTTTGAATGGGTACAGAAGCATTTAGCTTAATTTGTGCCAGGGATCCTCAGAGATTATCCTCAGAACCTGCTTCCAGCACTTGAAAATAACTTGCTTCTGACTCATACAAACTCAAGCCTGGAATCTACATATAAATACACTGTGGCATTCTAAGACAGTGTAGTCCTTTCCTTTCAAAGCCCTTCATGACCAGGGACCCGCACCTCTGAGGAACTCTCTCTCTGTGTACAAATCCCATGCACCAGTTACTATATGCTCAACAACATCTTATTGTTGTCTGGTTATCATTCATCCCTCAGGGCACTGAGAACACCTTCAACCCATTTATAGGCTTTTTCCAGCAATAGCCTTGACCCTCTGAAGTGACCTCAGTTACGAATCAATCTCCTTTGCTGGCCTTTAGAAAGTTGTGTAAAGTGATTTCATTTAAGAGGGCTTTTTGTTAATAATTGGGCAGTTGAAATTTTGTAGTGCTGGTTCTAGGTGATGACGATTTCCACTTATAATGATTCCAAACTCTGCTGTACATCCCACATAAAATTTATTTACTGAATAAATAGCATGTTAAAATTGAGGTTTTGTTTTGGGAATATGTCATTGACCTCCCCATGGGTCTGGTAGTGTTTTGCCATCTGCCTTCCAGTTCATCTTCAGAAGAAAACCACAAGATGAACTTGGCAGATCTCTTCCAGCTTCAGAAACACCCACAGAATTCCTGCCGAGTTATAATATCAAGTAAATGAGCTAGATTCAAGTCCACTAGCACCTTAGAGGCCAACCAGATGTTCTGGGTATAAGTTTTTGAGAATCAAAGTTCCCTTCATCATATCTGAAAATGGGAGCTTTGACTCTTTGACCCAGAAAATCTTGTTGGTCCCTAAGGTGCTGCCTGATTCAAATCTAGCTCTTCTACTGCAGATCAATGTGGTTATCTTCCAGATCTGAGCAGTTGATTGCATCTATGACCCACCTACAGTTCTTTGCATTTGTCATGTTCTAGTCCGGTTATGGCCTTCAGTCATCTTCACTTCCATCTTCTTCTTCTCCATCACTCAGGGGAAGACCTCTGTCCAGAAAAGCAGCTATGAGCCTCTATGGAACGAGCAGATTGTCTTCACAGAGATGTTCCCCCCACTCTGCAAGCGAATCAAGGTCCAGATCCGAGACTCCGACAAAGTTAATGATGTGGCCATCGGGACCCACTTCATCGACCTGAGGAAGGTCTCCAACGAAGGAGACAAAGGTGAGGTCAAGGTGGATGGAATTTACCTTCATCACTTGGACGTGAGACATCCCAGTTCAAATTGTACTAGGATGGAGACAGAAAACAGATTTTTGGAAAATTTAAAGGCCTCATTGCCTTTGGAGAACACTCTTCTGCTCTTACAGACGTCTCTGGTGAAATAGGTTTTGCAGGGTTTTGAAGTTCTACAAAAACATGCCAGATCTATATAAAGGCAGCAATAGTGGGATGAGTGTGCACACCACAAGAGTAGCATTGCCTTTCTTGTACCACTGTCAGCACCCTGAAAACCCTCTGGCCTTCTTCAGATCTGCAGTGGGTCTGATTCAAGGACAGTCATTTACATTCAGGGACCTGGTGCAGCACAGCAGTTGGAAGACCAAGCTATGACCTAAGAGGTCCCTGGGTCAAGTGTCAGCCCTGCCTGGGGCTTACTAGGGGCCCAGGGCAATCCTGTCTGCCTCAGTTCCTCATCTGCAATAAGGGGATCATATTACTGGCCAAACCAACAGGACTGTGGCAGGAATCACAATTATAAATGACAGGTATTATTGTTACTGCTTAGAGTAGCTGATGTGAGCTTTCCTCCTGGTTGAATAATTCTATTTCCCTTTATATTGATGGGAAAAGCCAACCCCAAATCCCTATTGTAGGCACGGCTTGTATTATTTTGACCATAGAATGTCTGGTGATTCCTAGAGCAGACTGACATTACTTCCACATTTCCCCTGGAAGTGATGTAACACAAACAATAGCAATGTATTTTTGAAAAATTCTCCCACTAGTCACCAGAACGACAGCATGAAGCAGGAGATGGGGGGACCTGGCAGCAATATTAAATTTCCAGGACAAACTTTTAAAAAATGTTTGTGAGATACTTTTGATGAGATGAACATGTACAGAAATGCATATATGCAACTTAATTTTTTTAAAGGCAGATAACAAAGGAAGCACATGTGAAGAAGCAAGACCCAGATCTGATCCAGTGTTTGACTTGCTTATTTTTATGCACTTAAGACAGATTGCAGATAGGGCTGCATTATGAATAAAGGACCCATAGTTGAGAAGGGATAGAAACTTTGCTTGCATTTTGGATAAATGCCCTGAACCTTTCAGCGCATGTCAGGCTTATCTGTATGTGCCCAATTTTCTTTGCTTTGACTGTCTCTGCAAGGCTTTCTGCCCACATTTGGTCCTGCCTGGGTGAACATGTACGGCTCTACCCGAAACTACACTTTAATGGACGAACACCAGGACTTGAATGAAGGTCTGGGAGAGGGAGTTTCCTTCCGTGCCCGTCTACTCATTGGCCTGTCAGTGGAGATCTTAGATACCAACAACCCTGAGATCACCAGTTCCACAGAGGTTCAGTTGGAACAGGCCACGCCTGTCGCCGATGTAAGACATTTGTTCTCTCTGCATCTCAGCAGCTGGTGTTGGGTCTGTGTAGCAGTCTGTGGATGTTATGCAGTCACTGTAGAGAAGAAAATGGATGGGAAGCATCATTTCCCTATGGAAATATTTATTTTTCCACACCATGGGGAATGCAAAATGAAATATTTTTTTAATTGCAATGTTGATGTGACTCAGTTGGGGAAGAGGCTACATGGGAGTTTCTACAGGGCTGATTGCATTCTTCCTCTAGATACCTTAAGGCATCCAATACTGTTAGTCAGAATCTGGGTATCTGAGGCCATCTCCCTTTCATTCATGAATAGGAGCACAGCCTGGCATAAAACTCACACACAGTTTATATGGTTCAGTTCCCATATAACTATTTTTTTAATCCCACTTTTCTTCCAAGGAGCTCAGGATGGTGTACCTCCCCGATTTTATCCTCATAACAACCTTGTAAGGTGGTTAGGGCTTAGAGAGGATGAGCAACCCAATCATCCAGTAAGCTCCATAGCTGAGGGATCAGACAGATGAGATGAAGACTGCATGTTCCAGTCCACCCATAAAATACAAATCATAGATTTGTGCAGCCTCAATTTGCCTTGGGACCATCCAGAAATGGGAGAAGAGGTTTAGCTTTTTTATCTGCCAGTTTCACCACTTGAAACTGCTTTGCTATTAACATTTTGAAAAAGTCCCCTTTTAAAAACACATTGTGTCTCCTTACAAAATGGTAGTACCAGATCAGGGAAGCTGGTTTCAAGTAATTAAACCAAGTGGATGCTGGATAATAAAACCCTTTCTTCCTTTCCTGAATAGCTCTGGGCAACTTGACATTGTACAAGCATGCAAATTGCGTGTTATGGACAGACCAAGATGTGTGATCATCATCTCATCTGTTAGAGCTCTCAATGAAAATCTGAACCTTGGTCTCCCCATTCCTAATCTAACTAGGCTCTCAACTCCTGCTGTTGATAAAAGACCTCAGGTATTAGGGCTGGGAAGGACCTCTGTCTGCCTGACCTTAAAAAGCTACTGCTCATCACAGCATGAGGCTAAATGGATCAGTAGTCTGACTCAGTTGAGGGTAGCTTCATACATGCATAAAACCATAACGAGGCTTCCCAGAATGTCTGAAGCACAGGAAATCAAGGCCTATTACCTCCAGTTCCAGTTGACAGAACAATTGCTGGGTTTATTTTTTACCACAGAACTGCACGGGCAAGATGGAGGAATTCTTCCTCTTTGGGTCCTTCCTGGAAGCCACCATGATCGACAGAAAGAATGGAGACAAGCCGATCAACTTTGAGGTCACAATAGGTTCGTACTTAACATTGTAAAAGGATGAGGTAAACTTTGAGGCAGGGCGTTTGCCTTTTCAGATGCTGTGTCCACAGAATTTTATGTGGGATCTGTAGCAGAGTTTGAAATCATAAGGACTGCAAAGTGAACTGAGGTGGTTGCTTTGGTTTGGACAGGAGAATGTCATTGTGAGGCGAATTTTCCCATGGGTTGTTTACTTCATTTGTACACCACCTTTCTCCCCAATGGTGATCAGATATGACTAATATCAACTTAAGTTGTCATCTAAATTGCAAGTTGTTTATGCCCTGCCCACATACTGCTAGTAGGCTATATGTAAAGTGAGACTGTTGGTTTTCCTATACAATCTCACTGTCCATTGATTTCTAGAAGAAAAGGCTGTACCGTGACTTTAGTTCCTTGTTAACTAACCAAGATGGCTGCCTTCTTGGTTGCATGCAGATAGCCAAATGGTCCCAAGGAGCCTCAGCTCAGTGAAAAAGGCAAACTTCAGTCAGCCTCATAAGCCTCATCTACCAGTCTTCGAAGTGATCAATAATGGCCCAACCCTAGATCTCCCCCAAATTCAAATAATTATTTTCTTGTTCAAAGGTAATTATGGCAACGAGATTGATGGCATGTCCAAGCCTGTCATCAAGAAGAAGAGAGAAGGTGGGGTTGGCAACGAAGAGGCATCGGAGTTGTTACAGAACTCAAGTGATGAAGAAGGCAATGACGAAGAAGAGTTTGTCTCCATCTCTACTACTCCCCCAATGAGGCCTTTGGTCACCGACAGGCAAGTGAGCTCAGACAGTTGTGGTGAAACAAGAGGGAAAAGAAGAGTGTGCCTACTACAGCACGCTCACAATTGAGTAAAAGCTGTTTGCCATTGTTTCTGTGGCTCCTAATATGTACATCTTCCCACTGCTTCAGGAATTACTTCCACTTGCCATATTTTGACAAGAAGCCTTGCAACTACATCAAGAGTTGGTGGCAGGACCAGAGACGGCGTCTCTACAATGCAAACATCATGGACAAGATTGGTGACAAGCTGGTGAGTATGGAAGAGGTCCAGCCCTCAGATACAGCCTGATCCTCTGGGCCACAGCAGGTCTCCCAGTGCCTGGCATATTAGCCTACTGAAAAGTTCTTTCTGTTCTTCCAGGAAGAGGGTCTGAACGATGTACATGAGATGATCAAGACAGAGAAGCCCCACCCTGAGCGCCGTCTCCGAGGGGTTCTGGAAGAGCTGAGCAGCGGGTGCCTGTGAGTTGGTCGAAAGGCGCGATGCAATATTCTGGGTGGGAGAAAAATTGCAGGTTTCGAACATCATAAAGCTGAGAAGGAGACAAGAGGTTGTGAATTCTGATCCCCTCTCATGAAATGAGATTTCTTATGGCTCCAATCCAGTTATGCTTAAAGTCCATGCAAGCAATGTGAATATCCACTTAGCCTGGCTCCAGCCTGGTGGAATATTCTCCCAACTGAGCTCAGGGCTCTGTGGGATTTACAACCCTTCTGCAGGGCCTGTAAAACAGAGCTGTTCCACCAGACCTATGGCGGACACCATATTAGATTGTGCCCCCCCACCTATTCTATCCACGTGTGCCACTCACAGGTACTTTTATGTATTGAGCAGTGGGAATTTTGGCCACTTGCTTAAAATCAGTATATACCCTGTTTCCCCGAAAATAAGACCTACCCCAAAAATAAGCCCTAGCAGGATTTCTTTGCATTTGTGGTATAAGCCCTAGTGTGTCTTCTTGAGAAAAAATAAATATAAGACAGTGTCTTATTTTCGGGGAAACACGGTATGAGTACACATGCAAGGGTCAAGCTTTCTGAGAGCACTTTAACTGTATTATTGCTATCTCGTGATTTATGTATGGATCTGAATTTTAATATTTTAGAATATTATGTTTTAATCTCTTAATATTTATGTGCTGTGAGCCGCCCAGAGCCCGCTTGCGGGGTAGGGTGGGATACAAATTAAATAAATAAATAAATAAATAGTGAATCAGAACCAGCATAGTGTATTGGGGGTTACAGGGTCATATGAGGATCTAGGAGACCCATGTTCAAACCTCTACTCTGCCATAAAAGCTTGTGCCAGTCAGTCTCTCCTCAGCCTAACATACCTCATAGGATTATTTGTTGTTCAAATAAAACTGAAGCACAAGAGAACAGGGTTGTAAGTATCCACTGGGGAGAAAAGAGAGCTAGAAATATCTACAGCCAGTGTAGTGTAGTGGTTAGAATTTCAGACTAGGATCTGAGAGACCCAAGTTCGAATGTCCACTCTGCCATGGAAGCTTGCTAGGTGACCTTGAGCCAGTCACACACTCTCAGCCTGACCTACCTCTCAGGGTTGTTGTGAGGATAAAATGGAGAAGAGGAAAATAATGTAAGCTGCTTTGGGTCCTCATTAGGGAGAAAAGCAGGTATAGATGGAGTAAAGAAAGAAACTCATCCTGCTGATTTTTTCAGTGGTACTAGCGGTCTGATATTATGTCTCCTTAGAGGACTATCCCATTGATTCCTAAGGATGCATTTTAACTTCCACTAGATTGGAACCTTGATCTTTGGAGCATTCCCAGAAGATGCTTGTTCAACTTTTCCTTTTGGAGATTTTCTGGAATACTCTGCCCAATATCTATTCTAGACACTTTTATGAGAACGTAACGAGGGCTTTGCTAGATCAGACCATGATCCATCTAGTCCAGTGCTCTTATTTCCTACTAGATGTCCCTCAAAAGCCTACAAGCAGGGATACAGAGACCCAGGCCTTCCTCTGTGGTTACTCCTCAGCAATGAACATTCTGAGATATGGTACCTCTGAATATGGAAGTTCCGTTAGTTGTTGTGCCTAATAATTGATGGACCTGTCTGGCATGAATATGTCTCATCTGCTTTTAAAACCCAGCTACACTAGTGGCCATACTATCAGGGGAGGAGGGAATTTCAGGAAAGGATCAGTAGATTGAAGGGGAGAGTGTTTAACCTCTTTCATGTGGTCACCCTCCCTCCCTTTCCTGCTTAGGCCAATCCCCACATACACAGTTGGGCTCACTTCAGATTCCAGAGGAAACACACAAAACCAACTGAAGGAATTTATAGGGAAGAATAAGTAGAGAAAGGAAGGGCTGAACACCAGGTTCTCCCATCTGCAAATTGACCCCCACCCCACCCCTGCACCAGCATTCTGAGGTAAACAGAGAGATTTGTGTTTTCCCCTCATAACTTGCTACACAGTTCTACTGGATGTACTTTCACCCGATTAGTTATTCTGGATTGAATCAATGAATTGTGGTCTTGCAAATGTTACTGGGGATAAGGAAAGGAATATTTCTATCGGATCATCCAGAATTGAGGTTTAGCTCTGGTCTGAGCGTTCTTCCCACAGTGTCTGAGGCCCTCTTCCCAACAGGGCTAAGTTTTGATCAAGCCTCAATTATCTCTCCTCATAGGCGATTTGTGACCCTCGCTAACAAAGACCAGAACCACTCTTCTCGCACACGACTGGACCGAGAGAGGCTGAAATCTTGCATGAGGGAGCTGGTGAGTGTCTCTTCTGGACCACCTGGTAGCACTGAAATAAAGGCGGAAGGGATGGAGACTTGACTGTTTTTTTTTTTTTTAAATGGGTTTTTAAAATTTATTTCATTTATACCCCACCTTTCTCCTTTGGGAACCCAAAGTGGCTTACATCATCCTCCCCTCCTCCATATGATCTTCACAACAATCCTGTGTGGTAGTTGAGGCTGGGAGTGTGTGACTAGTCCAAGGTCACCCAGCAAGCCTCCATGGCAGAATGACGGTTCAAACCTGGGTCTCCCAGATCCAAGTCTGATACTCTAACCATTACACCAAACTGACTTTCAGTTTTATAGAGACGCCCCCTGCCATATCATTTCCCAAACACGCTTCACTTTCCCTGGCTGACACCTTATCTCTCCCCCCTCCCTCTCCCCCTCTCTGCCCTTGTCCCACCCATGATGCTGTGCAGGAGACCATGGGTCAGCAAGCGAAAACCTTGCGGTCCCAGGTGAAAAAAACCACTATCAGGGAGAAGCTGAAGCAGTCACAGAACTTCCTACAAAAGCTGCGATTCCTGGCAGATGAGGTGAGGAATGGCTATGCTTGTATACCTCTCAAAACGTATTTATTTGAGATATTTATGCTCTACTTTTGTTCCCAATGGTAGCCCAAAAGTAGCTTACACCTTCATCTCCCCTCTTCCATTTTATTCTCACAAAAAAACCAACCCTGTGGGGAGCCCATGTCACCCAGAGAACTTCCTTGGCAAAGTGGAGATTCAAACCCGAGTCTCCCAGATATGAGCCTGACACTCTAACCCAGGGGTGTCTAACTCAGTTGTTATGAGGGCCGGATCTGACATACATGAGACCTTGTTGGGCCAGGCCATGTGTGTCATAAGATGTAATGCCAGGTACCAGAGAGACCAACTTTATAAAGGACACAAAGACAAAGATTTTTTTTTTACTTACTTTGTTGGTCTTAAAGGTGCTTTGTATTTTTCCTGTGGGATTAAGGCAGCCAAGCAAAGCAAACTCTCCCTCCTTCCCTCCCTCCCTCCCTTTGGGGAGGGACCTCAGCCAATGGAGGGGAAGAGAAGCTTGCCTATCTATCTCTCCTGAGCAATTGAAAGAGTCTGGCAAAGCAAGCTACGATGCAGCAGCAGCAGCATCTCTAACCATCTCTAACCATTACACCATTCTCCGGTCAATGCTGGGCTCTAAATTATATGAAAATGTCACCATTTCAACCTCTCTGTCTCTCTGCTCATCTGTTTGCAGCCCCAGCACAGCATCCCTGACATCTTCATCTGGATGATGAGCAACAATAAGCGCATTGCTTATGCCCGCATCCCCTCCAAGGACATCCTCTACTCTATTGTGGATGAGGAAATGGGCAGAGACTGTGGGAAAGTGAAGACTGTCTTCCTCAAGGTGACTGAACAGCCATTCCCCTCCCTGCAGGGCTGCAGTTGTCCAATAAGTAAGAAAGGAGGTGCAGAGGAAAAGGAAAGAGGGGGTGAGACATGCATTGCAAAAGGGGCACATGGGTATGCTGCAGCCCAGAGGTCAGTGCCCTTGGCAGCCACCTGTTTCCTTGCCCGTATATTTATATGGAAAAATCATGTTTGTGCCTGTTCTCCCTTTGCTGCGAGCTCCTGGGGCATGCAACAGTACTGTACTGTGCTATACTGTGCTATACTGTAGGCAACCCGGCATGCATGCTGAATGGAAGCACGCCAGACCATTTTGTTCAGCTTGAAAGCAGAGATTTACTCAAGCCAGGTCAGGTCATAGCACAGCTCCCGCTCTGGGACTTTCTTTGGACCTGGAGCAGTGATGTTATCATCAACCAGAGCTCCTTCTGGCTCCACCTTTGTGGAGCCTCCACCTTTGCTTTGGCATTGCTGATCAGTGTGCTGAAGCTATGAGACAGATGTGGCAAGCCCTCACCACCACCCCAACCCTCTCATTTCCCGCCTTTTCTTTGTAACCACTCCAGTATCTTGATAGAGCAACACTGCATTTCATTCTGCCAAAATGATTGCCTGCCTGCCGTAAAATCAAGTTTTCAGTACTGAAATGCTTGATCGTCATCAAGTCACAACTGACTTACAGCGACCACTTAAGACAAGAGAGGAGCAGAGGTCATTTGCCATTTGCCTGCCCTCTGCATAGCAACCCTGGACTTCCTTGGTGGTCTCCCATCCAAGTACTAACCAAGACCAACCCTCCTGAGCAGCTGAGCTCTGTCAAGCTCAGGCTAGCCAGGTCTATTCAGGCTACTTAAAACATTGAAACACAAGTTAAAGGTTGAGAGTGAAGAAACTGAAATTGTTAAAAGATTTTCTATTCCTTGGATATGTCACTGGCGACCAAGACAACTCATGCTATAGTATTCTCCATTACTATGTATGGGAGTGAAAGTTCTACAATGAAGAAACCTGACTGGAAGAAAGTTGATTCATTTGAAATGTGTGTTGTAGTAGAGTTTTACATATGCCATGGACTGCCAAAAAGACAAATAAGAACATAAGAGAAGCCAATGTTGGATCAGGCCAATGGCCCATCCAGTCCAACACTCTGTCACACAGTGGCCAGAAATACCAGGTGCCATCAGGAGGTCCAGCAGTGGGGCCAGGACACTAGAAGCCCTCCCATTGTTCCCCCCCCCCCCAAGCCCAAAGAAAACAGGCCCCCCATTGCCCCAGACTGAGAGTTCCTATCTATAACTTGTGGCTAATAGCCACTGATGGACCTCTGCTCCATATGTTTATCTAATTCCCACTTGAAGCTGTCTGTGCTTGTAGCCACCACCTCCTCCTGTGGCAGTGAATTCCAAGTGTTAATCACTCTTTGGGTGAAGAAGTTCTGGGTTCTCCCTAGATAAGAAGCTAAAATGACCAAACTGAGGCTATTGTACTTTGGTCACATTATGAGAAGACAAGAGTCACTGGAAAAGTCAATAATGCTAGGAGAAGTTGAAGGCAGCAGGAAAAGAGGCAGATCCAACGTTTAGTGGATTGACTGAATCAAGGAAGCCACGGTCCTCAGTTTTCAAGACCTCCGCAAGGCTGTTAAAGACAGGATGTTTTGGAGGTCATTAATGCATAGGGTCACCATAACTTAGCAGCCACTTGATGCACTTAACACGCACACACAGACACAGAACACCTAGCAGTATGGAAAAATAACAAGTACAATCAGCAAAAAGAGTAAAAATAAACTACTCCTAGGGGAGGGGATCAAACTGATAACAATTAATCAGTCAGATCTGACTGGGTTTCAAACAGGCACCTAAAAACGAGATCAGGCAGTGCCAGTTTGGTAGCTCAAAGGAGAATGTTCAACAAGTGAGAAGCCACTACAGAAATGCTTTTTCTTCATAACTCGAACAATGTCAAATGAATCATGTCAGTTTCCTAATCAGGTTCATTTTATAATACTAAGCATACACCACTCTTGCATCAGTATATCAAATCTCCTTTTTACTTCCTGTCCTCTCAGACTACTCATCCTAGTATGCACTGCTGTCAACACTGTAGTGCAGGGTTGCCAGCCTCCAGGTGGGTACCAGAGCTCTCCTAAAACTACAATTTATCTCCCCCTGACAGAGTTCAGTTCCCCTGATGGAAATGGCAGCTTAAGGGGCAGACTCCATAGCATTACCCCCCAGACACACACACACACACCAGCACACCATAAATCTCCAGGAAAACCACACATCTTGGTCTCAGGGCAGCACAGATTAAGAGCTCTCTCTTTCTTGCCTTTTTCCCCCTCAGTTACCCGGCAAAAAGGGGTTTGGGCCAGCTGGCTGGACTGTGCAGGCCAAAATGGAGGTCTACATGTGGCTGGGCCTCAACAAGCAGCGGAAAGACTTCCTCAATGGCCTACCCTGCGGCTTCGAGGAGAGGAAACTGCCCAAAGGACAAGGCATTCCTTTCTTCCCTCCCATCAGCCTCCTCTACACCAGTAAGAGCATCTCCTCCTCCTCCTTACTTGAGAGTTTGTGTGGCGTAATGGTGAGGGTGTTGGACTAGGATTGGGGAAAGCTGGGTTCGAATCGCCACTCTATGTGTTTCTCAGCTTAACCCACTTTGCAGCGTTGGTGAATGTTTAACATGGAGGAGGGAAGGACCACCTTGAGCTCCTTGAAGGAAAGGTGGAAAGAAATGTAAGGTAGCTTTCAGAATTGCTGAGGCCCAAGTCACATCATCAGACCTGCAGACCTAAGCTCTGTCCCCCAATTTTACACATGGAACTGCTTTACACAGACTCTGATCAGCACTGGTCCGACAAGTCCAGTGACTGGCAGTGGTTCTTTGGAGTGCCAGGGGGAGAAAGACTTTCCCAGACATCTAAGATCTCTTTAACGTGATGAGCCACAGACAGAAGCCGAGAACCACATGCATGGCCTGTTCCCATTTGAATTAAGGATGGGGGAACACCTTAAACCACTCAATGGCAAGGGAAGTACAGACTGTACATAAGTGACTCCTTCTGTGTTGCCTGTGGACACCATGGTGATCACTGATGTGTTTCCTGGCATATACTCGTTCCCAAAGTGAAGAGTCAGTCCTGGTTTTCCTGCATCCTTTGGAACAGGAGGTGCTTCATAGGGAGGGTTGCCAGAATGAGGTTGGCAACGAGCAGGAGTCCCTGCTGGCGCTGTAGTGATTCTTTCCTGTCTGGCCGGAAGTGACAGCATCATGTCACCTGCAGTACTCTAGCATTCAGCCAAAATGCTATGGTTTAGCCACAGATTTGGCTGAATGTTAGAGGATTGCTGGTGACACAATGACTTGCAATTGTGCCAGAATGACATTCTCACATTCTCACAACAACAGTGGCCCCCTCCCCGCCTTTGTCTCTCACCCAGGGATCATTTCGTAGAAAAAGAGGTGCAGGAGCTCATTAGCATAACTCATTAGGATAACTTAGTTTCATATGCCACACACCCCTGACATCACCGGAAGTGTGTCAGAAGGCAACACCCACTGCAACTTACCTGGCTGCTTCTTGCTCCTCATGGCCAGGACTGCTGGGAGCAGGGGGTGGGGCTTGTTGCATGCGCCCGCCCCCTGGGCTCTTTACTGCCGGAGCTCCGCTCCTGTGCGCACCTGCAGGAAATGACCCCTGCTCTCACCACTCAGCTGAATGATGGTGCGAAAGGCCAGCAGAGGGTTGGAGGTTTTCCACTGACATGGGAGACCCCTATCACCTTTGTATCTGCAGAGAACACCTGTTCAGTCACAGGTGCCTCCATCATAGGATCAAAATCCATTTTTTTAATTGACCACAGCTCCCTGGCAGCCATGCTGTGCTTGGCTCCGCCCCTCTGCAGCCATTTCATGGCAGCAGCCGCTTCATGATTTCAGAATTACAAAAGCTGCTTCTTACTTTACATGCTTCAGGACTAAGACTTGGGACTGAAGCAAAGTCATGTCAAATAAGCCTTACCCCCAACCCTAAAGCTGTAATCTTACCCACCCACCCACCCACTGTTTCCTCAGATCAGCTGAGTGTCTCTCCTCTGCTCTCCTTCTTTCACAGTGAAGCAGGTCTTCCAGCTGCGAGTCCACATGTACCAGGCCAGGAGTTTGTTTGCCGCAGACAGCAGTGGTCTGTCTGATCCTTTTGCCAGGGTTTTCTTCATCACTCAGAGCCAGTGCACTGAGGTAAGAGAGACGCCGTGAAGGCCCCCAAGACTGGGTCTTGCCTTTGACAGCCCTGAACGTCTCGCTTGTGAAACAAGATCTTTCTTGGATGACAAACTGTGAATTAAGAGAGAGGACAAGTGTAGTAATGACAGTTTTCAGTGGGTTGTTTAAAGCACATACCTGAATAAGGCTTCCTTTCAGCTTCACAATTTCATGACAGGTATCTGTTGTATTAAATTCAAAACTGGACTGATCATCCATGTTTTGACCTTCTCACCATGCTCTGTTGGCATGTGCATATTTTTAAGCGTCCTAATAAAATGAAAGCATGACGTGTACTTATTGTTTGCCTCAATGAAGGAAACATTCGAACAAAAACATTTTTCAAAAAATGGTTGTAAAACTGTTCCAGGGATGGGGAAGGAGGTGTGAATTCAATGTGAATCTGGGAATTTCTGCTTCAGGGACAACATCTGAAGAATGTCAAAGAAATTAGAAAGCTTTTAGAAAAGGCTCATGAAATCCTTTGAGGGTGGGGCAGGAAGGTTGCACATCATCATTTCCCATCATCTTTCCACAGGTCCTCAATGAAACACTTTGCCCTACCTGGGACCAACTGCTGGTGTTTGACAATGTAGAGTTGTATGGAGAAGTCCACGAGATGCGGGATGACCCTCCCATTATTGTCATTGAGATCTATGACCAAGACACAGTGGTAAGAGAAGGCCACGGATGGAAAGCAATGGCATCCCATCCCTGCAAGCTGACAAAGTTGTTCTCTTTCAAGTATATTCTGTCCTCATGTGCCACACTGAACTGCACTAATATCCCTGAGAGGACACTCATAGGAATTTCCCCCTAAGAGAATGTCTTCAGAAGCTCCTTGTTTCAAACCGGGAGCCAATCTAGATATTTTGGTGGCTGACCCACATTGGAGTCCTTGCTAAACATCTGCAAAACATTGTGAAGAGGGAGCAGTTTGGACGCGAGTGGTAACAGAAGGGTCTTTAATCCCTTTCCAGCTCACCGCTTCCACCCTGCTCTCCTCTCCCCCAGCTGCTTTGTGAAACACACATCTGTAAACCCCAATTGGTTTGTTCCGTTTGGCTCTGAAACTTCCCCCTCAGTTCTTATTTTCTATAGTGAGGAAGTCTGGGGCTCCCTTTTGACAGCAACCAATCCCTTTTGTCATGGTTTGTTAGACCAAAGTGCCCTCTAGCTCCACAGTCTGTCTCAAGGAGCAGAAATCCAGATGTCCAGGTTGCAGCATCCCAAATGGCTATGGACCCACATGCTCTCTGTACTCTTCCAGGGGAAGGCCGACTTCATGGGTCGAACATTTGCTAAGCCTGTGGTGAAGATGTCGGATGAGGAGTACTGTCCCCCCCGTTTCCCACCCCAGCTGGAGTACTACCAGATCTACAGGGGGAATTCCACTGCCGGTGACCTGCTGGCTGCCTTCGAGTTGCTCCAGGTAATGGCTTCATGCTCTAGAGGAAAGAAAATAAAGTATGAAACTCCCTGCCCTTGAAAGCGGACTTTGCCCCGCCCAGGAAGGGCCTGGAGAGCTCCTGAGATTACAACTGATCTCCAGACTGCAGATATCAGTTTCCCTGGAGAAAATGGCTGCTTCGGAGTGTGGAGTCTATACCTTGCTGAGCTCCCTCCTTTCCCTAAACCCCCCCACCCTCCTCACGCTCCACTAGGGTTGCCAAGTCTTACCTGCTGCTGGAGCGGGGGGCTCCCGGCTTGTTCCTGGAGCATATGCCGCAACCCCGTCACCCGGAAGTGACGCGACCACGCTGGGCATGCTGGGGGCGGGGCCACGACCACCCGAGGGAAAACCATAGAGTTTTCCCTCGGATGACCGTGCCCCTGCCCCCAGCATGCCTGGCGTGGTCGCATCACTTCCGGGTGATGTGCACGTCGCGTGCTTTGGGGGTGAGGTTCCCCCCAGGGCCCGATCCGCCGGCGGCGGGGAACGGGCCTCTGGGGCGGGGGTTTCCCCTCCCCCCAGGGAGACTTGGCAAGCCTACGCTCCACCCTCAAAATCTCCAGCTATTTCCCAACCTGGATGTCAGACTCCTGGACAAAGTTACTCTCAACAACACTCTCTGGCAGTGATTTGTTTACTGAGAAGTAAAGATGTTCCAGGCCAGATCAGTATCATGTCAGAACTGAGGTTCTGGTGGGAGAATCCAAAGATACAGATAGTTCAAACAAGGCCCCCCTTCAGTGACATCCAATTAACCCTCACACTTATCCTTCCTTGCTTGCACTTTACACCCCCACCTGTGAATATATGGTTTCTTTATCTACAGTAGCAAAGCAGGCACAGTTAGGCACCAAGGTCATCCCTGGACAAGGGAGGTATCTTAAGAAGGGTTACAGTCACCACTACAACAGAGCATCCACTCATCCACTCACACCCTTCCCTCAGTAATTTCCCTCCCTCTGCAGGCCCCACATCCCCCAAAACATGGCAAACTAAAGACTGAGTTTGACATTAGCCTTGACAAACCTACCCCCACCCTTCATTTTGGATCTTTCAGAAGCTGGTTAAGACTTTTCTATCCCAGGAAGCTTTTAATGGCTTTATTCCTTGTTCTTGTTTGTTATTTTTTTTCAAATCTGTTTTTTGTTCTGTTTTTCATGTTAACTGCTGATTTTAAGGTTTTTGGGACGGCTGTTTTAGTTTTTCCTGTCAGCTACCTTTTTATGATGAGGGTTTTTTTATGACTGTTCTCTTTTGCTTTGCTGTTGTTGTTGATTATTAGACAGTTTTACTCTGAGTCAACCCATTAAAGACCTTAAAGGGAAAGTATAGCCAGTGTGTAGACTATGTACAGGGAACTGTCATTCAAATTCCCAGCCACTCTGAAGTGCACTGCCTGATATGGAGCCAATCATTTCTTCTCAGTCTGAACTCCCTCACAGGGTTGTTATAAGAATTAAGTGCAGGAAGGGACAATAATCGAGTCTGTAAACATAATTTCTTCCCATTTTAACCTCTCAAGAGCGCTATGAAGCAGAGAGGTAATGGATAGTCTCAAATCATGCAGCAACCTTTGGAGCTAATTGTGTGTATGTGTGTGCGTGCATCCATGTGCATACACTCATATTTTATGAGGGAGTATAACAAGCATAGCTGTGGTTAATTCATTAATTGATTTTTAGTACTTACAGTGCCCTCCCTCAATTGTCGTGCTCCCTTTAGGGCAAATAAAACTTAACCATCTAATTTTTTTTTAAGTATCAATAAAATACAACAGCGAAACAAGTAAACAACCATAAAAACAATGGGATTGAGCTGAAATTAAAAATCTGTCTGCCAAATGAGAGAAGAGGCATGTGGGGGTGGGAAGGCCTCACAAACAGGCAAAAATAGCCAGTCAGATCCCCACATTAAAATAAGGGAGGAATTTTGCCTGTTGTCTGCAAACAAGAGATCAGATGCCAGGCAAGCAGCTGAAGGGAGGAGCCACTACAGAACAAGCCATGTCTCTGATTAACAAATGTCTCATTTCCAAAGATGAGAGCATGCAGAGAAGGGCCTCCTTGGCAGATGCCTGTGTTACTGAGGAGGCTGAAGTGGGTTCCTTATTCCCAGTTCCTTATTCATTCCTTATTTGCGTCTTATTCATGAATTCATCCAATAAGGAACTGGGAATAAGGAACCAACTTCAGCCTCATATGTTACTGGGAAAAAGAAAACACGAAAGGTGCCTTTTCCTTGTTACAAGAAGCAATTTCACAAATCTTTTTTTTTTTAAAGGATACATCTACTGAGTCATGTGCAAATCTACTCAAATAAAAGGAAGCTGAGTTATTAATTAGGTTTCAGGGGGCCCTTGCTCAGTGGTGGAACCCCTGCTATGTACAAAGAAGGTCTCAGATCCACTCCTGGGCATTTAAAGGATTTGCCAGAAAAGCTGCCTATGGTAGGATTGCCAGGCCCCCAGTCCGCGCGGGGGTTCCCCCACTTTTGTGGGTTCCTCCCTGCTGCCGGCCAGTTGGCCTGTGGGGGAAACCCGAACCACAAATGCCCCGAAGTACAGCGCACATGGAAGTGATGTCATCACACCACTGACATTGCCCAGCGACGCACTAGTTTTTCGGCAAAACTCTACGGTAAAATCAGGCTCAACCCATAGAATTTTGCCCAAAAACTAGAGCATTGGCATGCAACGTCACTTCTGGTGATATCATCATGCCCTGTGCACACTGGAAAGACTCGTTAATCCCCTGCTGGCAGAAAGGTAGGACCAGGCAACCCTAGCCTAAGGCCTGAGGGAATTGCTGCTATTTGGAGTAGACTTAGAGTTGCTAGCTCTGGGTTGGGAAATTCCTGTAGATTTTGGGGGATGAAGTCTGGAGAGGCCAGGCTCTGTGGAGGGGGAGAGACTTCAGCAGGGCATAATGCCATAGAGTCCACCTTCCAGAGTAGACATTTTTCTCCCAGGGGAACTGATATCTGTTGCTTGGAGATCAACTGGAATCCTGGGAGATCTCCAGCCACTACCTGGAGGCTGGCAACCCTAAGTGGACTGCACTAGCTGATCTACTGGTGTGGTATAAGGAACCGAACTCAGTTGCTGGACTAAAGATTGGGCTGGAAACGGTGATTAATAACAGGAGGTGGCAAAGGGCTGCTCAGTCTCTTCTGCTAATGGAAGTGGGCCTCAGGCTAGATCTCATCTGCCATACAAGTCTACTTCCTCAGCCTCCCTCTCTGAAAACAGATTTTGGCTTTGACATTTCCTTGCCTTTGGGAGTGGCTTGTTTAGTAATCTGTGTGTTCTCCCTGTTTGTGTCCCCCCCCCTCTCATATGATCTCAGCTTCCATACGATGACGAAGAGATCAGGCGGGCCTTGCTGGCAGCCACCCAACCTTGTGTGCCGCAGATCAAGGTGCCGTCATGGCTGCCATCAGGCCAAAGGGCCTCAAATTGCCCCTTGCCATACACGCAGCCTGATGCCTTGAGTGTGCTACAGGATATCTTGATTTAATAGGATTGCCAACTCCTGATTGGGGAATTTCCTGGAGATTTGGGAAGTGGAGCCTGGGAAGAGTGGGATTTGGGGAGGGGAGCGACCTCAGCATTGTATAATGCCATAGGATCCACTCTCCAAAGCAGCCATTTTCTCCAGGGAAACTGATCTCCGTAGTCCGGAGATCAGTTTTAATTCTGGGGGGTCTCCAGGCCTGACCGGGAGGATGGCAACCCTACTTGATTAAGTTATTACTGGTTCTATTTTATTTAGCATATTGATATGCCCGCATTTCAATTGAGCACCACAGGGCTCAAGGCAGTTCGTGTTCTCTCTTGCATCATCCAAATATTCCCCACTCTGTTCTCTAATGCACATTTTTTTCTCTTCCCCCTCTCTGCATGAAAGGGATCCTGCCAAGCTTTGCTCCTCTCCTGCTCTCTTAAATCACCTTTAGTTTTCACCTGCAAGCCATTCCCGATAGCAGGCATCTTGGCACACAAGAAACCTTCTGAACTGCTGCGTTCACTGCTTGGAGCAAAGTATCCATCCTTTGCTCTTCATCCATACCTCTTTCCTCTCAAAACACTGGCATCTCCAAGAACATTCCAGCTTGCTCAAGGCCCCTCTCTGCTTGCTTCTTTTCTCAGGAATTCTAGAAAGCTGCACAGTTGTGACCAGTGTTCCCTCTAAGCTGAGTTAGTGTGAGCTAGCTCACAGTTTTTTAGCTTGCAGCTCACACATTTTTGTCTTAGCTCAGAAAGGATGGCTCCAGGGCAAACCAAATTATTCAGTAGTCAAATCGCTCGCTCACAACTTTAATGCCAGTAGCTCACAATGTGGAATTTTTGCTCACAAGATTCCACAGCTTAGAGGGAACATTGGTTGTGACTGGGGTGCAATTTACAGAATGCAGCTTCTGCCTTGGAATTTTCAAAAGATTTGCACAAAAAAAAAAGTTGCCCACCTTTTATTTGGTTGCATGAGAAAACTCGTGGACAATTTCTGCTAAAGGATCAGGAACGAGTGAGGGCAGGAGCAAGGCTTCCACGGTGATCTTTCTCTCTGTCCGTTTTGCCATCATGCCCCCTTCCCGCACATTATGAGTTCCAGTCTGCCTTTCCAAATCCCCAGGATGAACGGATTTTTCCAAACCATGCAGCCAGAAATAAAGCATGGGAATGAATATAAACCCAATTTTCTGGTTGCAAAATCTGGGATTTTTCTTTGTGAAAAAAACAAGAATTCTCGACACCTCCCCCACAACTGACTGATGATCCAGTGCATGAATAGAAAGCTTGCCTATCTGATGGGAGCTAGAGATGAAGAAACTTGTTGGAAGCACTATGGAGAATGGGAATGTTACTTCAAGGAAATGATTCCAATAGCTCTTTTTGTCTTTTCCAGATTGGCCCAGCTGGGAAGTCAGATCTGCCTCCCATTGATGGCCCTACAGACATAGAGAGGGGCCCCATCCTGCCAGTGCCTCTGGGTATCCGTCCTGTGTTGAGCAAATACAGAGTGGAGGTAAATGGAAGCTTTTACAGTGGTGAATATTATATGTTCCATGCCATCCTTGTTCTATATTTAGCTGTGCCAAGTCCTCCTCCATTCTTCTAATAATCCACTACACATTCCTGTGAACTTTGTGTGGATGCATTTTTTGAAGAGTAAATTAAACAGGTTTTATTGAAGAATTCCCCTAATTATAAGTACACTAAACATTCAAAAAGAACAAGCAATACAGAACTAAGAAAGTGGAGGTGATTCATAGCAAATAGGGTGTTCCGTTATGGGGTAATACAACCGGTCCAGATCTGCAGAATCCATGGATAGTGGACTGCTAGTTGGCATCAGAGCAGAGGCACAATCTGAGGCCATGTGTGTGGACAAATACAGACATTGGAGAACAATGCTGACCAATGGGAGGTCTTGAGGGGCTTACCCCGGGTGAAGACAAAAGATTACCTGGGCCAATCAGGTGTCCCAGGGGGTGCAGTTGTCAGGAGGGACACAGCCTAGGTCGCAGAGGGGCAGATTCTAGATGCACAATAGCATTGATTGGATTACTGGAGATGTCTGAATAGGTATGATGACCAATGTGGATGCATTTACAAGTGTGCATTTCAACTCATACTGTGAGTGGGCCAGGAGTCCTGCATGGGCAGGCACCAGGTCTGTGCATCTGTTGGCCCAACCAGAAGTAAACACGGTCAGGCCGGAAGTGGTGTACAGCTGCTGTCAGCTAGGCAGAGACCAACCTCCTTCCCTACCATAGCATAAAGACACAGCGGGGAAGGACCTAGAAGGGGACGCGTGAGAGGAGAAGCCAGTCGGACACAAGGGAAAGCACTGGCAACTTTTAGCCTCGTGGCAGGTTCTTGGCGAGGCTGAGGGAATTCTGGTCTGACTCAGTGGAACATGGGTCCACCTGGCAAGCCAAGCTTGCTGCTCCCCCCCCCTCCCGAGTCACCTGAAGCAAATGAAACAAACAAAAATGAGTAGAAGAGGCATTGGAGGAATTGACAAGGAGAACCAAAGCCTAGAGACACAGCAAGTTTCATCTCTGCTGTCTGAGGCTCACTCCCCCCTCAAACCCCAACATATTTATATTGAACTTGTGTTACAGGTCATATTTCCATCACGATAACACATAGCCAAAGGCATATCTAATATGTACCTGCCATGAATCTGTCCTCTCCCCCCCCCCCAAAAAAAAAAAATCTGGGAAACAGTGGTGTAAAATGCTCAAAAAGAATGCCCATGTAATTCTGTTCTTCAGCATGAACAACTTGGATTGGAATGGCCTATCCCAAAGAGAATTCCTCTTGGAGTGGAATTTATAAATATTCCCAATCCCAATTGCAGGTTCACAGACATGCGTTTGTCTCTGCTGTGTTCGGATCACGTACTTGTAAATGAAGTGGATGTTAATAAGACACTAGAAGTCATCCTTCTTTTCTCATTCAAAAGAAATTAAACTCTTTAGTGATGTCCCTTGAATTTTTTGAAGGTCAGAAGTGAGGAGTACTTCATAGTAGAATCATAGAGTTGGAAGGCAACTCCGGGGTCATGTAGTCCAACCCCCTGCACAATGCAGGAAATTCACAAATACCTTCCCCCCACACCACCAGTGACCCCTATTCCATGCCCAGAAGATGGAGGGGGAACCCTCCAGGATCCCTGGCCAAACTGAACTGGAGAACAATTGTTTCCTGACCCCAAAGTGGTGATTGGCATTTCCCTGGGTGTGTAAGAAAGAGCCAAGAGAACTAAGCACTGATGCAACCCTTCCTGCCCTCCCTTCTCATGACCTGCCTAAGTTCACAGAATCAGCATTGCTGTCAGACGGCCATCTAGCCTCTGTTTGAAAACCTCCAAAGAAGGGAGCCCACCGCCTCCCGAGGAAGCCTGTTCCACTGAGGATCTACTCTACATGCAATGCCCATCTATATACAAGTTGTATGCAGTACTCACCCTGTAGCATTGTTTCTCCTTTGTCAAGTACACTGACTGATTCCCTTCCACATGAAAAGCAGTTGGATGCTGGAACTGGGACTTCCTCGCTCTTCAAACCTCAGCTAAAGAGAGCAGAGCCCCCTTGGCTTCATCCTGTGTTTGGGTTCACCTGCAATGACAGATATATAGCTTTGAGAGTGGACAAAGGCTGGCAGAGGGGTCTAGCATTGGTTTGGCCAGGGGTAGCCAAAAAATTTGAGTGATCGAAGCATAGAACCCACCTCCTTTTGAGTTTTCTTTCTCCTCTGGTATCTAATCCTTCTTCTCTGCAGATATTGTTCTGGGGACTGAGAGACCTGAAACGTGTGAATTTGGCCCAAGTGGATCGGCCTCGAGTGGACATTGAATGTGCTGGAAAGGGAGTCCAATCATCTCTCATCCAGAACTACAAGAAAAACCCCAATTTCAGCACCTTAGTCAAGTGGTTTGAAGTGGTAAGTATAGGCCTCAGGAGAGGGGTAGATGATGTCCATAGAGGTGTCCTTCCTGATGGTAATAGTTTCCTGGTCCTATTGGGCAGTATCTCCCAGTTTTCATAGTCTAGGCCCAATGTATATGTTAAATGAGAAACATGGGTACCACCAACCCAATCTGCCCCTCATCACCTCAGTCTCTACTCAGTGGTAATGTAGCTGAAAATACACAAGAGTTGACACAAGTCTTTCACTGATCCTCCCTCATCCCTCTGGTTGCCAACTCCAGGTTAGGGAATTCCTGAAGATTGGTGGGGGGAGCCAGGGGAGGGTGGGGTTTGAGGACAGGAGGGACCTCAGGAGGGTATAATGCCATAGAGTCTATCTCCAAAGCAGCCATTTTCTGTTGGCAGAGTTTAAATATGCAGAGGAATGGAGCACCAACTGTTTAAAGAGAATAACTGGGTTTATTAAAGAAGAAATAAACTCTGAGAGAACAGAGGAGAGGGAGAGAGGCTTAACTAACTAACTGCTATGAGAGACAGGAACGAAAGGGGAGGGCTCAGTTGGAGCAAGAAGTCTCCAAAGAGCCAATCAGGAGACAAGAAGGAGACAATTTGGAATTGTGGGAAGTCCCTAATCTAGCTATGCTAACTAGCAGTCCTTCAGCTGTCCCCTATAGGCTGTTCTTCTGATCTTCCTCAAGCAGGTGCACTATAGACTTTGTATATTCCAACATTTTCTTCATGGGAGCTCTTCTCTGTCACATGGAGATGAGATGTAATTCTGGGACATCTCTAGGCCCCACCTGGAGGTTGGTAATGCTATTGTGTCACTGTCGTTATTAACAGCACTTTGGTATCACCCAGTAAACAAGCACAAGAATAAAATGAAAACCCCGAATGCATAAAACTAGATAAAATATCAAAAGGATATGATTACACAAAGATGCAGAATTGTAGTGATTACAGTGCAGAAGTGCAGAAATCTGACAGACTATTATGACAGGCTATGAAGCTGAATAAATGACTTAACAAAATACAAGCCTGCCTTCCATAAAGCAAGGAGGCACATAAATAGAGATAGAGGCTTTTTGCAGCTGCTCTGTATTAGAGGGCTGGTTATAGTGAAGCAGTAAACTGAGCTCTGATGCCGGAGATGCCTCGAGCAGCCAGGCAGGAATGAGGAGAGGATGCTGAGTGATGACATGCTGGGGTTGGGAGGATGTGTACCCCCTAAGCTGAGTTAGTGTGAGCTAGCTCACAGTTTTTTAGTCTCCGTCTCAAACATTTTTGTCTTAGCTCAGGAAGGGGAGCGGTGAAGGGGAGCGGTGGCACAGAGGATTTATCCTCTGGTTACAGTAACATCTGAACTGAACAGAACTGCTGTCAGTTCTAGCCCGCGCTGGTGTGAGCTACCAGCCGTGTCCCCAGCTCGCCGTCCACCCAGCGGTTTGAAAGCTTCGGCGAGTAGATAAAATGGGTACCACTCCTTAGAGAGGGTGGGCACACTTCACCCCTCCGGTGGGGGAGGTGTTAGCCGGCGAAACGGAATGTCCAGCTCGGAAGCCTGGAAAAGATCTCTTCGGCATTAAGAAGCCTGTGATGGGCCAATCTGGCCAGGCAGTGGCAGTGTGGCACTGTGACTCAAAAAGCAGTCCTGGAAAATCTGACGTCATCAAGCCAAGCCAAGTGATTGCCGTCTGGAACACGTCTGAGCCTACAGCTGAACAAAAAATACCCGTCGGCTGCAAACGTGTGCGACTTATAAGATTTATATATTGTCCTCCCTTACCCCCTATGAATCATTGTTAGTCCCTCATCAATGTGTAACTGTAAATTGCTCAGAGCTAGCAGCTCTGCAGGATTGAGCCATTAATAAATCGAAAGATATTATTATTATTATTAGGAAGGATGGCTCCGGAGCAAACTATTGTATGCAGTAGCCAAATCACTTGCTCACAACTTTAATGACAGTAGCTCACAAAGTAGAATTTCTGCTCACAAGAAGGTGGGGTGGGTGCAACATCAGCGATGTCACTACAGCACTTCCAGGTACTACTCAGAAGTGACAAAAGGTAGCTATAGGAATTGCTGGAAACTCTATGTTGCTGTTGTTGTTTTTCTCCAGCCACCACTCAAAGAGCCAGTGGCCTCTACAATGGGAGGCCTCACATGCCTATCCATGGAATGTTTGTCAGATTCCAGATCTTGCTTAAAATTCCTTTCAGCTGCAGTCACCACATCAGTCTCTCCCTTGCCATTCACCATAATGGTATACCACTCCGAATCTGGGTTTTGGTCTCTTGCAGGATCTGCCAGAAAATGAGCTCCTCCATCCTCCCCTGAATATCCGTGTGGTTGACTGTCGTGCCTTTGGGCGATACACACTGGTGGGAAGCCACGCTGTCAACTCCTTGCGCAAGTTCATCTATCGGCCTCCAGATAAGAAAGCCCAGCACTGGAGCAAAACAGGTATCCAACCAGAGAAAGCAAGAGGAACATGCCCTAGAGCTGGGGCGGGGGCGGGGGTGGGGGTGAAGTGTGTGATAAGGTCAACTCTAGCTATTACATCCAGAATGGTGAGTATCTGGGGGTGTGGCAGGGAAAGAAAAGGAGGCAGCTAGCGAAACATTCAGTATTTAATAAACCCTCTCCAGGCGGGGTTACCAGCCCAGTGCTGGCAGCCCCCAGGAGATGGGGTGGGGTAAAGTCACCAAAAACTGTGCTGTGCTGGAGCCACAACGTCACTTGCAGAAGTGACATCACCATGCGTTGCACCAAAGCAGGGACACCACTTGTGGCTTCATACCAGAAGTGACATCACACCACTGGGGTAATTCCAAGTCCCTCTCCCCCATAGTACTCCCGCTGCCCCCCTGAACAGCAGCAGGAAAAATGTGGCACAGGCAGGGGTTATTTCCTGCGGGAGAGCACAGGAGCGGAGCTCCGGCAGGAAGGAGCCCAGGGGGTGGGCTCATGCAACAAGCCCCGCCCCCTGCTCCCAGCAGCCCACAGTCGGGCCACGAGGAACAAGAAGCAGCCAAGTAAGTTGCAGAGCCCCCCCTGGCCCACCTTCAGGTACAAGCTCTCCCTCCTCTGTGAGGGCAGATCTGCATGTCCCCGTCCCCAATAGCTAGCAATCCAAAACAGTCCAGTGGAGCCTGAGTGGTGGGTGTTGCCTTCTTACACACTTCCGGTGATGTCAGGGGGTGTGGCATATGCAAATAAGTTATGCTACTGAGTTATGCTAATGAGCTCCTGCATCTCTTTTTCTACGAAATGACCCCTGGGCACAGGGCAGGAAGTCTCCCACCAAGCAGGAGACCTGTCAAGCTCCAAAGCGACTGTGATAGCGGAGGTACTGTGTTGTGGAAAGGGGATTCCCTGCCACGAACTCATGCGGTTCATTGGTGAGCCTGTACCTCTGGCCCTGCCCCATTCCCCAGTCTGATTTGCAGGAGCAATACCACCGGCTTATTTCAGCTGGTTGCTGTAAGCGAGGCTGAGATAATAATGCAGAGCAGTACTTAGGAAATTCTCTATATGAGTGTTTCTCTAACGAGACCCTGGGGAACCGTGAGGGTGCTCCGGAGGTGGTATACCACAAGTCACGCATCTTTAGGGGGCTGTCCACTGCGGTAGTCAGCAACAGCTGCTGGGCAGGCCGAAACTCTCAGTACGGTGGCCCAGAACAGGCATCCAGAGGGGAATCCTTCATCTTAAGGGCGCTGTGAAGTAGAGCTGCAAACTCTGGGTTGGGAAATTCCTGGAGATTTAGGAACCTGGAAGGAGCCTGGGCAGGGCAGAGTCTGGGGAGAGGAGGGGAGGGGTAATGCCAGAAAGTCCACCCTCCAAAGCAGCCATTTCCTCCAGTGATCTCCGTAGTCTGGAAACCAATTGTAATTCTGGGAGCTCTCCAGGCCCCACCTGGAGGTTGGCAACACTACTGCCAAGGATGATGGACAGCCGTGGTGGTCAGAAATAGTCGGTATTACAGCCCCTGGCCTCCCAGGTCTTTTAAAAAGACAAGAGACCTGTGCAGAGAACACACAGCTTTACCATTAGTCCTTTGAGAAGGGCTGGTTCTTTATCCAGGCATGTTTCTGTGTCTCTGTTTAATAATAAAATAAATCAAAATCTTAGTGATACCCTTGTTTATAAATTTTAAAAAAATAGAGCTCATAAACATGATTTTTTTTAAAATTGCTCCAAATATAAATAGGCTTGGGGGGATCTGCAATAAATGTGAAAGTTTGGGGAGAGGATCCTTGAGTTGCTCGTTTGAGAACTGCTGCTCTATGTAACATGAAGCCTCTCCATAATGCAGAAGTTCTCATGTCTCCGGTAGTTTGGAGTTCTTCTCATTCACATAGAACGATCTCTTTGAAGACTGGAACCCTTCTGTAGTTTCTCCTTCCATTCTTTGATCAGTTTTCCTTTTCTCCCTCAAATCAGTCGGTGCTTTGTCCAGCCCTTTGGCCGTCTTCTGTCCTCAAGTGATTCTCGCCTTCTGTGTCTGTCTGTCCTGCCTGGACACTTTGCCTCTTTCTCTCTTCCTCTGTCCTCTGTCCAGCTAAGCTCCTGAATGCCTATGCAGCCCTGGCAAACGGAGGCCCCTACTCTCACCCTGCAGGTGAAATTGTAGTCAACGTTGAGCCTGAGGTTCCCATCAAGAAAATGGAGACTATGGTGAAGCTGGAAGCGGTAAGTGAAGCCCAGGTTAGGAAGCAACCCCTGCAAAGTATTTAATCTCGAGGGCCCCCCCCAAATAAAGAGGACCTGACTTACTTTCTAGGATGACCAAACTTCTAACATTTCCGAGGAGGCCATGCTAAACCCCCTCTGTCCCACTCCCCTTTGCTGCGAAAAAGCTCAAGACCTGCATTTGCACGTATCTATCCTGTGTTATGCCACCCCTTCCCATTCATATCTCCTTTGGCTTCTTCCCCCACTGTCAGACTTCAGTGCAAGTTGCTGGGGCAGGGGTCAACCTCGCAAAGCAGGAGTCTGCAACCGATGGCTCTAGTCTACAGCCAAATATGCTTTAGAAAGTAATCCTAAACAGTTCTCCTCAGACTCCTGTTCAAGTTACTTAGCAGGACTTACGCCTAGGAAAGTGTTTTTAGGATTGCAGTGTTAGTACGGAAATATGGCTCTTTTAAAAAGAAAACCTAGGCTGCGGTCACACACACTCAATAATCCACTTTCAATCCACTTTCCAACTGGATTTTTAGTGTGTGAACTGGCAAAATCTAGTTGGAAAGTGCACTGAAAGTGGATTGAAAGTGGATTATTGAGTGCGTGTGACCGCAGCCCTAATCTTCCCCTTCATCTTTCAAAGCATGCCTTGGTGTGCTCACCTAAGCTTTGTACTTAGAACTTAGTACACTTTAACTCCTCTGAGATCGCAACAAAGTGACATCGACACCTATGGCAACCAAGTCGTTAGGATCTGAAAATGAACTGCAGCAACCAAGGGGGGAAATGAGAATGCCAGCATCAACCCTGCTTCCTCTTGCATGCCAAGGGAGCCCTCTACCATTTGAGCCTGGAGGAATTAGCTCAAATGGTAGAGCACTCTTTAAGGCATACTATAGGCATAGGAGGGATGCTAGAAGTAGAGATGGGCATGAACCGGGAAAATGTTTGGGGTTTGTGGCATACACGGTTCATGAACCATGAACCATCATGAACTTTCAGCCGCCAAACAAACCAGTTTGATTCTTGAGGTTCATGATGACGTCGAATGCCCCCCTCCCCAGTGTGCTAGAAATGCCAAGCTCACAGGGGATCTCTGGCTGACTCTCCTCTACCTGCCCTCCAAGTTTGGTGAGGATTGAATTTATGGAGTCTGAGTTACAGCCCCCCAGAAAATGTGCCCCCAGGAAAGGGGAAATGACAGATGCAGGTTCAGGAGTGTATAGAATGAACCCTGTGCAAGCTACAGACATAAAACTCTCAGGGGATTCCCCCTGATGCTCCTCTACATGCCCTCCAGCTCCAGGTTATGTGCAGATTTGTCTTAGGGGGTCTGAGTTGTGGGGGGGGGGGGAAGAAGATGCCCCCAGGAAAGTTCTTTTTGGGAAATGTCAGGCACAGGTTCCAAAGTACAAGCTACACACATCTGATGCACAGGGAACCTGTTGGTGTTTCTGAGGCTGGAGAATTCCGCTCCCCATCCATTGCTTTGAAGTTTAGTAAACATGTTGACTGAGTGGAGACTGTCATTCGAGAAGCATGAACCAGCCAAAATTCATCACAAACTTTAGCTTGTGAGCTGGTTCATGCCCATCCCTAGCTAGAACTATTATATGAAGGTGATGGCAGGCAACAATTTTCATGGGACTAACAGGCTTCTTAGACGTGCTTTACAGAGCCTACAGCCATACCTGAACATGTCTGATCTCGGAAGCTAAGCAGGGTTAGGCCTGAGTAGTACTTGGGTGAGATGCTTTGCAGAAATGGAAATGACAGAGGTGAACAGTTACCAGCAATCCAGGTGCAAATAATGCATAGATTTATGCCAGTGCACTAAAACGACCGTGCAGGGTGTTTCTGCATATATTTATGACTTAATGTAAGACCTTGTGTGTGCCACTTCATAACAAAGGCCCCACAGCAACTAACATTAAAAACATTTGCGATTATTAATCAACATTTCAATTGTTAGTGATGTCAAACTGTACATTGTCAGTTATACAAACGGGCTTTCTTATGCTGGCTTCTGGTTGATCTCTTGCTGTGAATTGTTGATGTAGGTTACCTCTTTAATTGTAAAAGGCTGCAGACCCCTGCTGTAAAGTCTATTGACATTATTGGATGAAGAATCCTAATGGCATCCATTCATCCCGTTCTGCTGCATAAAATGCATGAATCATAGGCCTGGAACTTTGTGGTTCTCCAAAGCCATCATTCTAGCATTATGGCTGAACAGTGGCATAAACTGTCCCTGCCTGAGGAAGCCCTCCAGAGTTGACTTTGGCCTGCCATTTCCTTCTTGTTCACTAGTGGTCTGAAGAGTGCACCTGTGGCTTTCCCCCTTGACTGGGCAATGTGCATATCTGTCTACTGGAGTGTGCAGTTCATATAGTTGTCTGCCTGCATTTCTGTAACCATTGCTTGTTCTTCCCCGTTCCTCTCCCCATTGGCAGAACTCTGATGCGGTCGTTAAGGTGGAGCCGGTAAGTGTTGGCTATGCTTGGCGTGGCTCTGTGGTAACTAGTTTAATGGTTCTTTCTGCTCCCAGTCCTTTAAAGTCCTCCTCCGTGGCTAAATTCATGTTCCTCAGGCTTGGCCGATGAGCTGGAATCAGACACCTTTGAGGATGCAAAGAGTGCTAACAGTCTATTTGGTAACAAGCCTATAAACAATTACCTAAAGCGTGGGTGCATCTAAAAAGATGCTTTTGCTTTCTGTAAAGTGTTAGAAATTCCCAGAATCTAGTGAGATCACAGTGATATTTTTCCAGTTTCTTGACCTCACTCTAGCCCTCTGCACATAACCCCTCCATGTGTTGACTGCACATGTGGAGAGAAAGAACAGGCACAAATTCAGGACAAGCAAAAGAAAGTATTTCTTCATTTGAAGAGTAATTAACTTGTGGAATGCGTTGTTTCATGATGCAGTCATGACCACTAGTTTACTTAGCCTTAAAGGGGGATTTGGCATATCCAGCAAGTATAGGTACATCGATGGCTATTATCCATGATGGCTCAGTGGTATTGTGTTTCTGAATATACTTATGTAGGGAACCAGCAACAGGGGGAAATCTTGGCCGCTGTGTCCTACTAGTGAGCGCTCTTTCTGGAGGCATCTGGTAACCCCCTGTGTTAAACAGCATGCGTGGCTGGATGGGCCGCTGTTCTCATCCTGCACAGTCGCTCTTACATTTGTAGTGAAGTTCACACTTTTTTCACTTAATTCCTGCTCATTGGAAAGTTTGGTTTAGTTTATTGCTATTACAGTCCTTAGACCAGATATGCTTACACACACACACACACACACACACACACACACACACACACACACACACATATATAATTGGAAAATCATGCAAGATGGCAATGGGTGTGTGTGTGACAGTAAGGTTCCTGAGCTGAGATGTGACAGTATTCATTCATGTAGTTCCCACACACACACAGTCAGTCTGAAGTGACAAGAAGGATTCACCATGTGATTCTGGTGATTGTCTCAAATTTGCATGCGCTCCTACTCTGCTCCTACGTAGCAACTGTTTTTGCCTGGAAATCTTCCACAGTAGATGGCTTGCTTTTGAAAGCCGGCATAGAGCTGGCCATTTGACAGGTCAGAAAGTATCCAATGTTGGTCAAGAACTGCTACACTTTCAACCTTATTAGAACAACAGTAATGATAACAATCATTAGCTCTGATATTTTTGCTAATTGCAAAACTAGTTAACTTTCACTAGGAAACATAATTCTTTAAAATGATAATGAATTATTATGCATTTTAACAATGTAGCATAAGAGTTCTATAAATGTGAATTCTTTACTGACTGATTCTACTCTTTGGCTTTTATCCCGGAAGCAAAGTAAGAGCAGCTATTAAAAATCAAATCTCAGTTGCAGGAGGGTGACTCTTCCTGTGTGGAGATGCCTGAAAGTGTAGCAGGTGAATGCTAGGAAAAGCTTTGCTTTGCTGCTGCAAGACCTGGGGTGGGGGGAAGCTACTGTCTCCCCAACCCCTGTTGACAAATAATGTCATCAAGATTATTTTTAAAAGAAAGCTCCTACACATATAGCTATAGTCTTAGCTTCAGGGATTTCCTGGCAACATTTGATGGTGGTCAAATAATAGGCAGTCCATTGATTATATTTGAGAGATCCATGGACTGACGTGCCAACCCTAAGGTGGTGCCAGGCAGCCCTCGACCATGAAAAGGTCATAGCAGCACAGAATTCTGGAAATTCCACTTGGGGTGTTCGGAGGGTTGCAACCGTTGCCTGTAGACATTCTGATAATGCTATTTAATTGGGCTGTGTGAGACCAAAGATCCTACAGGCAGAGCAGGAGACAAAGAACACATGTCAGCCCCCTTAGCATATCTCCATTGTCCTCCTGTTTGCAGTCGGAAGAAGAGAAGGAGAAAAAGAAGAAAAAGAAGAAAGGAGGAGCAGACGAGATTGAAGACGACGAGCCTGACGAGAGCATGCTGGACTGGTGGTCAAAGTATTTTGCTTCCATAGAGACAATGAAGGAGGTGGGTGGTCACCGGCAAACTGAGCATGGCCGTGGGCATGGGTTTGCAATAAATAAATAAATAAAACTATCAAAAGGGTGCTGCACCATTTTTCTTTTAAAAGAACAGGCTAGGCATGGCAGCTTCACTCTACGAACAGCAGCAGTTTATGTATGGTACGAGAACCTTGAATCGGGAATTCCTTGCTTTTAGTGGACTCCATCCACAGGATTCAGCCCATTGGGTTGTTTCTGCAGCTAAGTGTGGAGCCTTCCTCCAGTACAGTAGTGCTCACTCCATGGCTCTCAGAGAGCCACATTCACGGTGACCTTCCACCAAAAAAGCCACATTCACTTCCAACCCTGGCATGAGACCTGCACCTCAGGGGGCCTTGCAGCTTACCCTTTCCTCTGGCAGCAGCTGCTTCAAGGGGCTGGTTGAACTGGCAACCTTAAGCCTCAGCACACAGTGGAGCTTCTGAAACATGAAGCAGGTGCCAAATTAGGGAATAGTGCTCAGAAGAGAAATTGCATTCAAGTGTGCTCCCACCCCCCCCCCCCCCCCCCCCCTCTTATATTCTGTGGTGCGGGGGACTTCCTGTATCATTTCAGTACTGATTGTCCATGGTCTATTTATTTAGCTGTGGTCACACACACTAAACAATCCACTTTCAGTGCACTTTCCAACTGGATTTTAACTGTGTGAACTGGCAAAATCCAGTTGAAAAGTGGATTAAAAGTGGATTGTTTAGTGTGTATGATCACAACCTTTATTAAAATATATATTCCCTGTCTTTCCCTTGTGGCTCAGTGCAGCTTACAGTTTCAAAAATTGAAAAGTATGAAGTATGGTGAAAGCCCTCTCAAACAGAACTGCCTTATAGCTTCTTCTAACAAGGGTGTCCCACCCCCTCGCGGTGGCCTTTCCACAAGATGGGAGCAACTACAGAAAAGGAACAGGTTCTAGTGGATGCCAAGCAGGCCATCTTAAGCAGCTAGAGGCTAGCAACCAGAAGACTGTAGTTGGCACACATGGGGAGACATGGATTCGAGGCCACAAAACTGAACTCAAAAACAGCCAGTGTTGCTGCTTTAAAACAGACTGTCCTCCCATTAGCAACCCCTGACAATAATTCATCTGTAGCATTTTGAACCAGTTTTCAGGTTGTCTTCAAGAGCAGCCCAATATAGAGTGTGTTACAGTAGTATAGCTGCTCGGGTTCCAAGGGTTCTGCTGTATTCACCTATCCTGTTGTGCAACCTCTCTCTTTCTAGCAACTTCGGCAACAGGAGGCAGCTGCAGCAGAGGCAGAGGAGAAGGAAGAAATGGACCTGACTGAGGGTAAATTTGTGGATGACAGTGGTGATTGAGGATTGGCTAGGAGAGAGTTAACTTGGAGGTCTGTTCCAGTTTAGGGAGAATGCAAACTGAAGACTGTTGGAGAACCTGTGCTGAGGGCATCTCTGCCCTTAACAGCAACCAAACAGGCGGAAATTAATCGGTGAAGCATTTCCCGTTACTGCAACTCCACAGCATTCTTAATTTCTCTGTCCTGTTGCAGTTAAAGACACAGACTGCTTCTGCCCATTTCAGTGTGGCACCCTTAATTGAGAGCTAGGAATGTTGCAACTAAGGAACAAACTATGTTAGCCCTTTAAGAAAAGTTGAATGTGTAAACATGCACATCAGGCTGCCTTCTACTGAGTCAGACCCTTGGTCTTTCAAGGTCAGTATTGCCTACTCTGATTGGCAGCAGCTCTCCAGAGTCTCAGGCAGAGGTCTTTCTGGCCCCTACTATAGGTTGTTGTTTTCTCCTGAACGGATGTTTCCAAGGCCACATTTCAGCTACATGGGAATATTTAGAAGAGTTTCAGTACACATTAAACAAGCATTTTGAGTGGTTTGGGAAATGAACAAAAACAGAAAGCTTTTTTGCTGTAATGAAAAATTCAAGTATCTAATTTTAGCAACTATGGGCCAAGGCCTATGTCAGTGCTAAGAACTTGTCATCTAAGCCCCGGCAGGTACACAGGTCCAAAAAGCAATATTGAGAGTAGGAGAACCAATATGAATTGGGCTGCAGAAAAAAGGGTCTAACTCATCCCCCTGCCTTGTTTTCCCAGTTGGAAATGACCCCTCCCCCGCGTGAGTTTAAATCCAAGAAGGAAAAAAAGAAAAAAGACCGTTCTCAAACTTTGCCTGTCTTTTTTACTCCCTCTTAAGAGGAGGACGCTGAGGTCACACAGATGACATGTGGGTAAAGTGCTAACTTTTCCCCTGTCTGAAGCTCTGACTCATATTGCCCCCTCCCATGGCTGCTTCTTGCAGCTCCGTTGCACATCTGGGGATTGTAGCACCAATCCCCAAGCATGATGTATAGTTTGGCGCTGTGAGAAATATTGAATGCAAAGGAAGGTGTTCTATGCCATCTTTGGGCAGAAGAAACTTGTTGACCCAGAAGAGAGATTTTTTTTACCAAATATGTGAAAAAGGAACAAAATCTATTGTTGCATTTCTGAGACCCCCCTTCCATGGCACCCTGCGCATGGTGTATGCATGATCTTCCTTTTATCTCTCCTTTCCCTTTGCCAACCGCCCAATGCTAACGTCTGGACATATCCATGTTCTGTTGCATGCATTGTTGCATCACCCTCTCCTTGCCTCCTTGACTGTTTTGCGGTTGCCATCCTACCATCCATCCCACCACTGACAAAGAGACCTTAACAGTTGGCAGGAATAGAAAGTCAAGCAGTGGGCTGCAAGAGCATTTGTAGAATAAGCTGGAAGTATGAACAAAGTCCAGGTGTGCCCTCAAGTAAATTCCTTATACATCCAGTTGTTTATGGAGCCTGTGTAAGCCCATTCCCTACATTGCTCTTACTCCCAAACAAGAGTCCTTCTTGTAAAAGAAATGTCAGTCCCATAGCCAGAAAACACCAGGTCCAAAGGCTATATCAAAATATGAACAGCAAGGATGAGGAGCTAGCCTGTGAAACACCAGTTGTCCCAGGGATGGGTGCATGGATGGAGAAGGGCCAATTTTGAGCTACAACATTTAATTTTAGTGGCTGTCTGCCAGATCTCATGCACATCATGGCTGCATGTTCTGTTTTCCATCTCATGTCGTCTTCACTGCCACACTTCCTGCCTCCAACCATTCACCTTTCCCTCCTGCCATCGACTGCCTCTTTGTCTGGGGCTCAGAAATCAGACTTGATGACTCTCATGTGAAAGGCTCCAAGGGCCAAGGGAAGGCCAAGGAGAAAATCAAGGCGCCCAAAGAGGACAAGAAGAAGAAACAGCAGCAACAGCAGCAGCCTCAGCAACCAGAAGTACCTGAGAAGAAGAACAAGCAGAAGATCGATGAGATGAAGGTGAGCTGTCCCCTCTCACAATCCTCTCTGCGGTGAAATGCATTGAATCCCAGAAGGAATAATAGAGTATTTGGACTCTGCATTCCTCGTGGCCTGCGTTTGGGCAATGGGCTTCTATTGGCCAAACCACTGCAAACAAAAGAACAAATATACAGCATGTGCCAAAATTCAGGCAGCTTATCTATCCCTCCTCCAAGAATCTCACGCCTGCATCCCTGGTGCTCCCCAAAACAATTCTATGTGATATATTAGGCTCAGAAAAAGCAGCTTACCCAAGGTCACTCAGTGAGCTTCCTGGCTGAGGAGGGATTTGAACCCTGCCCAGTGACCCAGCATTTTAACCATTATACTACATTGGCTCTGCATTAGTGCAAGATCCAAGGTCCCAAGTCCAGGTATCTTATTGCTGTCAGCCACAATAGCCCTGTAGCTGGGGCCTGAGCCCCAGTGCATAACGTGCTGAATTCATGCACGTCAGCAACCTATATGTCTATTGCTGTGTAAGCATCAGTATGTACATGGAGCCGTATAGTCACTCCATTCACTTCATCAGGGCTTGGGCAGCTCCACACATATGTCCCCTCACATGCTTGGAGCTCTCCCTTCTGGTGGAATGAACAAGAGAGGGCTTGCAGGTAGGAGAACTGTATGGACATCAGAGGCATTGCCTGTGCAAGAGACTGATGCAGCAGGACAACTGTAAATACTCCTCCTCTTAATGAGCTGTTGTTCAAGGGCAAAGGATGTCATAACCAGGTGCTTGTGGGTGGTTGCTGCACCCGGGTAATGGCCAGTCCCATTTAACTCACCCCAAAGCTCTTTGTAACCCCAGGTCTTTCCCAAAGAGCTGGAAACAGAATTTGACAACTTCGAGGACTGGCTGCATACCTTCAACCTCTTGCGCGGGAAGATTGGTGATGACGACGACAACGCAGCTGATGAGGAGCGCATCGTGGGCAGGTTCAAGGTGAGTTTTAGGCAACTTAGATGAGTGGCTTTGGAAGGAAGAAGAAATGGCAATAGGAAATTTGAGTGTTTGGCCACCATTGTGGTATCCATCTTTGGCTTGGATGCCTGGGAGCCTTGGCCTCTCTAGTCAAAATATCTGCAACCATCCCAGCTACAGTTGCCATGTCTTGACCCAGAGCTGCTGCCTCACCCTTTAAATGTGGCGGCACACTGAGAAGCTGCTCCACTGGTCTCTCCTCTCCCATCTGCTGTATGAAGGTAGAGTTTGGGTGGCAACCATGGCTGGGAGGGGGGAGTGCTCTGGGAGTGGCCGGGTGGAAGAATGTGGTGGGACGTGCAGGTGCTGCAGGACCCCTCACTGCCTTACAGGCATTCAAGGTATGGGCACCATCTCTGGATCGGGACATGGCAAGTCTCATACACGAGTGAGCCTCCTCAAAACAAGCAAAGTGAGAGGTTAATGTTGTTACTTCCCCAAATGTATACTGTATTCAGAAGGCCAAAATATACTGTATTCCAACACATATATTCAGAGGTTCAAAATATACCATGGTCCAAAATATACTGTGGGTCTGGAACCTCCTCTCTCACCTCTTCTTCTCTGCTTCAAAGACCACAGGTCCAGCATCATTTTTTAAAAAAAAAACTGGGATTATTTATTTCTGGAAATTGATCCCAACCAACTGGGATATAGTCACCTAGTCCACATGATGACGTCACAATGCAATGAAGCCATTTAGTAGCCAGTTAGATCTGGCCATCTCACAGTATTTTAAAACTAATACGAACTGAAGGGTGATGATTCTTGTTTTCACTGCAAATGGGAAAACTCTTTGGTCCTTCTTTGCAGCTGCTCCCTGCTCTCCACCATCAGTAGCTGAAACCAATTTTAACTTCTCAAAGCTGCTTGGATTTCATTGAAAACAACACACATCCCCTTTGGAATCAACCCCAGTTCAAACCTCCCCAACCTCGTGACAAGTGGTTACTCCACTCCCAGTCAATGAGTGTGAGGAACATATGCCAGCTGATTGATTGACTGGGAGGGGACCTCAGCGATTTGTCTCCCAGTTATTCAAGCACATGAAATGTTAATGTAGGTTTGAATGTCCCTGCTCACACCTCTGTAGGGAGGACACATCTCAGTGCAGATGAACAGAAGATGAACTCAAAGTTCAAGCTCAGTGCAGTCACCATAGCACATAGAATGAGCTGTTGTTTTTGTAAATGCAATACTGACACAGTCTAATTTGCTGTCTAATTTGTATATTGTTTTAAATTGTAATGGCCAATGGCTACACAATAAATTTTACTACTCTGCAGTCTGATTTGCACCTTTGTGGCATCTGTTGCTAATGAACCCAGCTGATAGGGTTGCCAGGTCCCCCCTAGCCACCAGCTGGTGATGGGGGGCAGGGTTGCCAAATCCAGGTTGGGAAACTCCTGGAGATTTGGGGATGAAGTGTGGGGAGGACAGGGACCTCAGTGGGATACAATACCAAACAGTCCACCCTCCAAAGCATCCATTTTCTCCAGGGGAACTTATCTCTTTAGTCTGGAGATGAACTTCCCAGACCCTACCTGGAGGCTAGCATCTCTATTGGCTGAATATCTCCCCAGTTCCCTGTCTCTGATAACAGGAAAAAGACAAACATATTCTGCTCAAGCGGTGCCCTCTCAATAGTTAGCAGTGGCAACCCACTGCAGTACATTTCCCAATTTTGACATAAAGAAGGGAATGACAGATTCTAATAGCAAAACCATGTTTCATAGTGATGTTGCACTTAGAAAACACTTGCTTATTTCAGCAAGTCTTAGATTCCCTTTCCTAACCAGACTAAAACATCTTCCCTTCCCCCAGGGCTCTATGTGTGTATACAAAGTGCCGCTCCCTGACGACATCACCAAGGAGGCTGGATATGACCCAAATTTTGGCATGTTCCAGGGAATCCCAAGCAACGATCCCATCAATGTGCTGGTCCGGGTCTACGTCGTTAGGGTGAGAGCAAGTCAGATACTGTTTCAAAGCATCTTTCTCCTTACAATTCTTCCTGCCAACATTAAGTTCAGTTTCTCATCTGTGTTAAAGGGGGGAGACACCCCCCCCTCCAGTCTCCACTGCTGATGTGTTGGAATTGGCTTCCCCCAGCATTTTAAGAAGGACTGTGGTCCCCTTTCCCCTGAGTGAAGAGCAAATTTCTTCTTCACTCAAGGAAAAGGGGACCACATTCCATCTTCAAATGTTGGGGGAATCCACATTGAATGAGCAGCTTTTATAGGACCGTTTTTTTCAGGAGGAGGAAAAGCAAGCAGGGCTGGCCCAGCCCAAACACCTGCTCCCCTGAACTCAAAAGATTTGGCCCAGTATCTTCTGTGGCTCAACTTCCAAAAAAGACAACTAAGGGGTAGGATTATAAAATTATATGTGGTGTGGAGAAACTGGATAGAGAACACATGGGCACGCCTTGAAAATGAAGGGCAGCAGATCCAGGACAGACAAAGTGAGACACTTCTTCATGTGACACATAATCAGAAGCAGGATTTGTTGTGGCTTCAAACTACCATGGGGATAGGGGGATTGCCCTATCTGTTTTTAATGTGGCTCTCTAGGATGTGGGATGCAATGAGCTTCAAGTGATGGTGTGGTTTCCTTTGCCAGGCCACCGATCTGCATCCTGCTGACATCAATGGGAAAGCTGATCCCTATGTTGTCATCAAGCTGGGAAAGACAGACATCAAGGATAAAGAGAACTACATTTCCAAGCAGCTGAACCCGGTCTTCGGAAAGTACGGGAGCCTTGCCAATGTTTGTGTTGTGGAATAGCACGGAAACCCCAACCAGGGCCAGACCGACCATGAAGCAAATAGGAGGAGTATGGTTTAAATGGCAGCAGATTGCCAGTTATGGGAATATACCATGTTCATTTTTGGTGGCAACAATATGGAGGGGTACCATTTTGGGGGGGGGGGGTTAGCCTCAGATGCCAAATAATCTTGGACCAATCCTGACCCCCCAGAAATGGCTGTGGCTCAGTGGAAAAGCCTCTGCTTTGCATGCAGAAGTTCCCAGGTTCAGTCCCCAGGATCTCCACTGAAAAGGACTAGGCAGTTAGGTGATGTGAAAGACCTCAAACCCTGGACAGTCACTGCCAGTCTGAGTAGATAATACTGACCTGGATGGTCTGATTCAATGTACAGTGGCTTCTCTCCCCCCCCCCTCCCCACCTGTAAATGAAAAAGTCTCTGCAGCAATTTTCAGCATACTCAGTCAAAAACAGTGAAAACTAAATAAATCAAAACATCACATAGCAAACCATTTTCAGCAGTGCCCAAACCCCACTTCCCCTAGAGTGCTATTACTCATTAATCCAACTGAATGGTACTCTGGAAAAGGCAGGCCTTCAGACCCCTGCCAAATAACACCAGGGAAATAGTCATTCACAGCTCTGGAGGGAGGAACCCACAACTGGGAGGGAGAAAAAGCCAAAAAAGGCCCTCCCGAGGGTTCCCACCTGCCAAACCTCTGCCAGGATTGATTCCCAGAGGAAGGCCCCCTGGAGAAATTTCATGCCTCAGTGTGCTAATACAGAGGGAGGCAAACATTCACATGTTCTAGGCCTAAATCATTTAGGGGGTTTCAAGGTCAAAAACAGCACCTTGTGTATTTAGTCTAGAAACAGATTGGAAGCCAGTGTAGCTCATATGAAAATGGCTTAATATCATCACTGTATTGGGTCCCTAGAAGGACTGCAGCGACTGCATTTTGGATCAATGAACGTTTCCAAACTGTCTTCAAGGGCAGTTCCGCATATTGTGCATCACAGTAATCAAATCTCTGAGGGAGCCATACCGGTTTCCTGAGTTTCTTAATCCCAGTGTGCCACCAGTATACTTGCTCTCCCTCAGCACTTGGAAGAATCAATCCACAAATCGTGATTCAAGGTCTGTCATAATCTCACATTTTTATCTCCTCACATTCAGGTCCTTTGATATTGAGGCCACATTCCCTATGGAATCTATGCTGACAGTGGCTATCTATGATTGGGACTTGGTGGGCTCTGATGATCTGATTGGTGAAACAAAGATAGACCTGGAGAATCGATACTACAGCAAGCACAGGGCAACTTGTGGTATCTCTAGTACCTATTCCATGTAAGAATACCTAACTGTCCTTGGTGGTACTTAGGTTTTTTGCATGTTTGCAGTTGATTCCCTGTGGTCTCTGTGACTGAAGTGAGCCAACAAGACTGACAGGGATACCTCCTTCAGAACACATGAAAAGCCGCAGTCTAACAAGACTTTACATGTACTTAATTCTGTTTTGGATTTTGTCCATGGCCCATTTATCATAGCAGAGTCATACCTACAGTAGACTTGAATATATAGAGTTTGGGGCCTCTTATGTGAAGTTCCCTTCAGAAAACAACAGCCTTTGTTGATGATTTTAACATACTGTTGCTAATGTACAAGGTGTTCCTGTAAAGTAGGGACCGTTGAAGCATATGGGATTGAGATGTACTGGCCTGTGAGGGCTTGCAAGGACTGAATGATGGACTAGTTCAGGGACTAGGTAGCCCAGACCTTCTCTCTGACTGTCTTATATTTTTCTCCACAGTCATGGTTATAATATTTGGCGAGACCCCCAAAAGCCCACTCAGATCCTGTCCAAACTATGTAAAGAGGGCAAACTTGATGGTCCCCACTATGGCCCTGGGGGCAGAGTGAAGGTTGTCAACCGAGTATTCACTGGCCCCACAGAATTGGAGGATGAGAATGGTAAGTGGACTTTGGCTTGAGTTGTGAGTAGCGCAACTGAGGCCTTTGGCTGAGGAGCGTCTGTTCTCAAAGTTGACCAAGAGCTTATTTCTTCCCTTTTGTTAAATTATGCCATAACCATCAGATACACATACACACAGAAATGTTAACAACCAGTTGCTGATTAGTTTGTCTAATCAAATATTTACCAGGTGTAGGTTCCTTGGAAAGGTCACTCTTTTATGCCAACCCCTCATTCAAATGGTGTACAAATTAGAACAGAAGATGACACAGATATTCTGAACTGAGGTAATTAAAGCCAGAAATCTCAATCAACATTTATTCTATCCCATAATGACTTGAGGATCAAAGTATTTTGAAGAGCTGGTAATCAGAGACATTGAGAATACAGCTTGGCATAATTTAATGGCAAGAGAAAAACAAGTTATTTAACAAACTCTGAAAAAGAGGATGGGATATTTTAGTCCACTGGTAAGGATGGGTTTTTTGTCATTATGGATACAGAGGATCATTGCCAATTAGGTAATAACAGGCAAGTGTCAATATGACCCTGTAGAGCATGTAAAGAAAGAAATGAGAGCTTGGTAGAAGGTAATTTTAAAAAACTACCAATGAATTTTTAATTCAAACAGAAAAGACAAGAAGATGTGGGGGGTGTACATTCCAATATTCCCAACACATATAAATTCTCCCACTGATTTTAACACAGAATTTGCCATGATTTTGTTATGTATACTGTGTTCATAACCAGCACTGCTTATACTGTGGGTAGTATTCAAAAAGTCACATAAGTAAATATGAGCTCTGGGGTGAAGCAAGTCCTCATCTACCTTGCATGAAGACAGTACTAGCTGAGTAGGTATTTCTTTCTGCTGTCCTCTTGGAGAGGGACTATGGCTTAATTTTGGAGCATAAGCTTTGTACATGGAAGGTCCCAGTTCAATCCACGGCATTGCCATTTAATGGATCTCAGGTTGTAGATGCTGGGCAGGACCTTTGTTTGCCTGAAACTCTTGAGAGCACGCTGCTAGTCAGAAGAGACAATATGGTGCTAGCCAGCTTGATTCCATAAAAGGACTTGTGCTTGCAGGTCAGAAGAAGCAAACAGATGAGCATCTGGCACTGACGGTGTTGCACCACTGGGAAGAGATCCCTCGTGTGGGCTGCAAGATTGTGCCTGAGCACGTGGAAACACGCCCCCTGCTCAACCCTGACAAGCCAGGCATTGAACAGGTACCTGACCAAGTCTAGCCTTCACACCCAAGATTCTTAATACCACCTTGGCCCTCAGTAGCATGATTTACGTGCTACTACAAGACATCATGGTGGCCTTTGACCTAGTCAGATGTGGAAGGGGAATATGACAGTTATGTGGGAGAGGGTAGCTCTATCAGCGGCTGTTGGTTACCGCTGGAGGGCAATGGTACAGGTCTCTTGTCTTCACAATCTGCTTGTGGGTTTCCTGGAAGACTCTGCCTTGCCTTGGTTGGAAATGGGATGCTGTAGTAAATAGATGCTTGGATCCAGCAGAGCTCTTCAGAGAGAGCCAGTTTGGTGTAGTGGTTAAGTGCGCGGACTCTAATCCGGGAGAACCAGGTTTGATTCCCCACTCCTCCACTTCCACCTGGCTGGATGACCTTGGGCAAGCCGTAGTTCTGATAAGAGCTGTCCTTGAAAAAGAGCAGTTTCTGTCAGAGCTCTCTCAGCCCCACCTACCTCACAGGGTGTCTGTTGTGGGGAGGGGAATGGAAAAGAGTTTGTAAGCCACTCTGAGACACCTTTGGGTAGTAAAGGGCGGGGTATAAATCCAATCTCCTTTTCTTCTTCTTCTATCGCAGAACGTTTTCATTGTTAGGGTGACAGGGATGGTTTGGGGATGTGTTAGGAACAACCAAACCAAAACTTTGTTATTTAATGGGTTTTTAGACTACCTTTTTGACTCCAAAAGTGTACTCAAAGTGGTTTGCTGCATATTTCAAACACAAAAAAATTCATAATAAAACGTATTCCAATTAATGCAGAAGGTCTCCAGAGATGGTATCAGCTCCAGGGGGTGGGAGCTTCCATGACTGAGGGGCAACATGTTGAGTGGCAAAAGGCAGAGAGCCAACATGAAGGACCTCGGGGCACTCAGGAACCACTAATCAGGTCTTTCTACTGTTGCAGGGACGACTGGAGTTGTGGGTAGACATGTTCCCCATGGATATGCCGGCACCGGGCCCAGCCATTGACATCTCACCAAGGAAGCCAAAGAAGTAATGCTCTGCTGGGGAGGGAAGGAGGACTTCATCGGGTTCTGTGGCTGGGTTCTGCTGGGATCTATGAAGACCATCCAGGAGCAGAAGGGAGGGGAGGGAAGGATAGATGGGTGTGGGAAGGACCAAAGACAGAAATAGGTAGTGATGAGTGCGTAAGGTGGTGTTTAACAACTGGATTTCCAGGTAACTGGCTTTGTTTGCACATGGAAGTGATCCATTTGGGATTCTCCACTTTTTCTTCCGTGTTTTAATTTCTGAATTGGATACAATTGTTTACCCTTCCAGTTACTCAGGCATATTTATTTAAAAATCTGCAGAGAAGGTGCCTTGGCATGATTTCTATCAAGATTGTGACCTGTGTTTCAGCAATTCACTGGCATGCATGTGTGCCTAGTGATGCAGCCATACGTACACTCAAATCAAGTTCGTTTCGCTTTGCTTTGTCAATGAGCACATGCTTATCAGTAACACAGAAGTGAAAAAACATGAAAATTCACTGAAGAAACACAAAGACACAGGAAGCTATGAATACTTTAATTCTGGAATTAATTTGACACATTCTCCTGGTTAATTTGGCATTCAGGAAGCATATGGCAAGATATTTATTGATTGATTTGTTTTTATTTGTATCCTGCCCTCCCCGCAAGCAGGCTCAGGACAGGTTCCATCACAGTATAACAAATCGACAGTTAAAATGCATCTAAAAATCTTCTAAAACAGAGCAATCAATATAGAAAGACCAATGCCTCAACAGATCTTAGCAAGAAACTGCTGGTTTCCAACTGTTAGAGCAGATTTCCCAGAACAGTAAAGGAATGAAATGTCGGAAAGGCACTCATCCCCACAATGGAGAGCATCTGTTGGGGATGCAACTTAAAGGTGGTTCCTTGTGTCATGGACTATCTATTTAACATCTTTTTATTTCACTGTTCCTCCAAGGAGCTCAGGGAAGCCCGCGTAGTTCTCTCCTCCTCTTGGTTGTCACAAGAATACTGTAATGCAGGTTAGAGTGAGACAGAGTGACTGGTCTGAGGTTGCCTAGCAAGCTTCGTAAGAAAGTGGGGTTTGACTTCAACCTCAAATTCGGCTGAGCTTCAGAATGCAGCCAAAGCTGCAAGGGGTCCTACCTGGAGAGATAGGGTGGAGACCATCCATCCATCCATCCGTAGGCCAGCTCCAGGAAAGTTAGCCCACACGGCTCTTCTGGAAACTGAGCCAGCTTCCAGGTAGCCCTAGTTCCTACTTTTTGAAAGCAGACCTGGGGATTAGCTCTTGAATTTGCCTTTTTTATATATATATATGGAGGGTAATAACCCTTAGAATGACATCCCCCTGACCAACTGGAATCTTCTCAGCCTGTTGCTCTGGTATTCCTGTGGAGGGAAAGTCTAAGTACTGGCCTGCTTGGTGACAAAAAATGCACTTGATGAACCAGTTGGCGATGAAAAGTGCTGTCTAGTTGCAGCCGACCTCACAGGGGTTCTCAAGGCAAGAGACAAACAGAGGTGGTTTGCCATGGTCTTCCTCTGAATAGCAACCTTTGTCTTCCTTGATGGGCTCTCATCCAAGTACTAACCAGGGCTGACCCCGCTTAGCTTTCAAAATCTGGAAAAATCAAGCTAGCTTGGGCCATCCAGGTCAGGCCTTGGATCAACAAAGACAGTATGTCAGATGATCACAAAGCTCTTCTTACATTGATCAAGCCCCTGTTACATTGATTAAGCTACATCTTGCCCATCTCTGGCCCCTGGAAACCTGACTGAATTTTTTAAAATCCTTACGCCTCTTCCAGGGGACTCCTATACTTGGGTTTTGCTGAGCCTCCCCTGTCCATGGAGAAAGCAAAGCTATGCCAGAGCAGAATGGCCCCATTCCAGCTGCTCAGCTGTTCTCTGAGGGCCCTAAAAGAGAAGATCTGTGTGTGTCTGTGTTTAAAGGGGGATCCTGCACCTGCATTAGGCAGCCTCACCCGCTCTCCCCTCGGGCTCATCCCTCGTCTCCCTTCCTCCCCGCCAGATACGAGCTTAGAGTGATAGTGTGGAACACTGATGAGGTAATCCTGGAGGACGATGATTACTTCACTGGCGAGAAATCCAGTGACATTTTTGTCCGGGGGTATGTACGGCCCACCCAGCTGGCCGGCTTCTCTGTGTGTGAGCTTCTTGTGGTGGTGTGGCCGCCTGGCACTGTGCTCCTTGCAGAGGGTGGGCGTCTCATGGACAGAGTGTCTCCTTTTCTTTGTGGCTGTCAGTAATGGACACTTTGCTTTTCTATTCTGCCCCTTTCTTTTGTTCTGTGTGTTGTTTTGTTGCTGTTGTGTGCCTCTGTCCGCGCCATGCTGGCGGCTAGGTATGAGCTGCGGGTAATTATTTGGAACACCGATGAGGTGGTCCTGGAAGATGATGCTTTCATGACGGGAGAGAAGATGTCAGACATCTATGTCAGGGGGTAATTGACAATGGATGTTTATTGCACGGCTCCTCATTGGGGCAGGTCTGGTCTGGTGGGGGAGGAGGATGCACGGGGCAGTTACCCTCGGATCCTTTGCTTGCCCATTACTGGACACTACCCATTGGGACACCTGGAGCAAATTGATAGCTTACGGCAACTCGCTGGTAGAGACAAAGAGACTAGGTTTCGACAGCAACTACTTTCCATACTGAGTTCAAGCAGGAGATCTATGGTACTCTTAGGATATTAGCCCATCTATACAGATAATGGCCTTGTTCACACATTACGGTGAACACGTGTACATGCATACATCTGTTTGTAAGAAGGAGCTGACACATGTTTACTTTATAAATGAAACTGGAGACCAGGGCCTGGATAAACGTGAGTTTAAATCACATGTTAAACTGTACATGCATTGAATGGACCATGAGAATTACTCAACACACATATAAAGAAAACACAAGTGTATACTGCCTGTGGATTATATGTGCATTCACTGTAACTAGTGAACGGGGCTGCTGTTTTTGCCATTTGGATTTATTTATTTTTTTAGAAGGAATTCCCAAGCAGAAGGGGTTGGTATGGACATCCTTAAACATAATACAGATTCAGGGTCATCTGATATGACTCCCCCTTGACCTGCACTATATACTCAGTCCCAGGTGTAGTGAATGGATTAATCAAGGAACCCTGAGCAATGAGTTGTGCTGGTGGGAAAGTCATCAGATTCCCATTGCTGCATATAGCCAACTTCTGTAAGGACAGACATTTGGATTCATGAGGAGGATACTCTCCTTTCATTGAGGGACTACTAGTGCTGATGCACATGTGAAGAGGTGACGGTAGCAACCTCAGAAGGATGGAAACCTTGAGTGAGAGTAGAGTACTGAGGCAGAGCCAAAGGAAGGTAGACTGAGAAACCAGCAGCCCAAGATCTGAGACCCAAAAACAAGACTAGGAGCCACTTAAGTAAGGCCAGAACCTGGCTGATGTCCAGGCCAAGTCTGACCTGAAAACTTTTATATCCAGGTCAGGTCAGAAGGAACCCATGATAAAAACATTGTCCCTTCTTCTTCCACTCTGCAGCCTAACAACAAGGGCTACAATAGCTAAGCCAGAAAGCTTTTGGTTCAAGTTTTGGCTGACATCAGTGGAACTAATAAGGTCACAGAAGAACATGTGTTGCAAGCTCAATTCTCTGCAGAAGAGTTTTCTGTGTAGCTAGAAAGAGCAGCCTTCAGACACAGTTGGAATAAGTGCATGGTCTTCCAGCAGAGTCCAGTGACAAAGGATGTCCCAGACTAAGAAGGCCAGTCAATAAATATTGTTTGTCACCCAGCAAACTTCTTTTTGTGTCTTCCATCCCTGCATAAGGCTCAGAACCGGTCATTCTGTGGAGGCTCCACTTTGGGAAGACAGAGTGTTCATATAAGCTTCTGGTCCCGCAGTTCCAACATCCCCAATGTGGTGCCACGGCACTCGCCACAGGGTTTCCTGTCAACCTTCACCATCTTTCCCCAAAGCGAATAGGCAGCCCTAGCTTTCCTATATCTTAGAGGAACAGGATGTCCTCCTGAAGAACCCTGAGGCAAGGAGGAACAGTTCAGAAAGCTGCCTCTCGTGCAGAAGGGTGCTTGGCTTGCAACCTCCCAATATTTTGTGATTGGATGGATCCATTCTCAAAAATTCTAGAAGTGCCCACAGGCTCAACAAGATTTAGGACCCATGAGCTAGAGATCTAGGGTGGCTAGTTTCATGGTATGCCAGAACCAGCCTTGAGGATCCAGCCTGAGCTATGTGTTTGCCTGGGATAGGGTGGGTTGGTCTCTCAGCGGGGCAAAGGTAGCATGGATATCTGACCAGGTAATTGATTTGTGTCCAGTTTTCTTCTCCCCGCCGTGAATGAGGAATGCCATCTCACTGCCTCTTTTGCATGCTCTTGGCATTGGCGTGCAGGTTTGGTCTCTCCTTCTGCAAACCCCTTTTCCCCTTCCTCTGATAGCAGGGGCATGGCCGGGGAATGGGGGCTGTGTGTATATGTCTGTGTTTCTCTGGAGTCAGCTTGCTTTTCTGCTGCATGTTTTGGAGGGGAGGGCAGTCTAGGCAATAATTTTAGGGCCCTCTGTATCCCAAGCCCCCACTGGAGTGAGACAGGCATGACCCTCCACAATGGACTGGTAGCAACGTTAAGGCAGATGTGGTCCATTGATGGATGTTGGTGGGTTCTCAACAGCTTGTGTTTTTCAGGCTCATGATCACTTTCACAGATGTAGCCTTTCTTCCAAAACAGCCCCCAACCTGAAAACAGTATTTGTTACTCTCCAAGAATTTGTTTGGGGGATTCTGCCTTTGAATCATATTTTAAATACGCCAGTAGAGCTGCATCAGAAATTAAATTACCGTAATTTGCTCCTTACTGTTCCTCGAGTGGATGCCAGTTTCAGATATACAACTGCAGGCAGCCACAGTTGCTTTTAAAAAAAGATTTTTCATCTCTGCCCTTTCTGACCACAAAACAACCTCGTACTCTTTCAGCTTAGGCTCAGCCCTATACAACACTAAATGTTCAATGATGCAGCTGTTGTTCTCCATCTGATGCAAACTGGCTATCCCAATTCCAACTAGGAAGAACTGCAGAAACCTATTACAGTGGATTTTTGCTATCTAGTCTGGATCCAGCTTCCCACAGGCAGCTCTTCCAGGGGAAAAAAAATGAAGTCCCACAGATGCACGTTTCTGCAGCCCTGAGATGTAGCCCCCTCAGTAAAGAGTGCAGCCGTGTGCTACAATATAAATGCAAACAAAAATAAAGTAGAAAGAAAACCCTTCAAAATGATCCCATTGTGTGCCCAAAGAGTATTTAAGTATTTTGAAATACTTTAAGTATTTCAAAGGGCAAATTTTGAAAGGGATTTCTATTTATATGGCTCTGCTTTTCTTGGTCTTCATGCCCCCTCCCAAAAAAGAGAGACAGAGAAAGAGAGAGGTGGAATGCCTTCTCTTTATTCCTTGGGTTCTGCTTCTCAAAATTCCACATAATTTAGTAGAACATTGTCAAGAGTGAAAACCCAGAGATAAAAAGAGAACAAATCCCTACTGAGACAGAGCTGGGGAAATCTACTTATCCCTCACAAATGCCCCTCCTTATTTGGGGTCTCCACCTCTCTGCCAAATGTGACAAGACCTGATGAAAGACCTAATACCTACCAGCCAGATTTCCATGCAAGTATGTCCCACCACCCTTTACAGCTGCCCCTCCCTCTTCAGTGCCAAGGCAGAGCCTTACCGCATGAGCATCACCAGCCGCAGAAATATCCGGTTACCCTTTCTCGACCTCTGTATTCACCCTCTTCCCTGGCTTTGCCTGTGCAGGTGGCTAAAGGGGCAACAAGAAGACAAGCAGGACACCGACGTCCACTACCACTCCCTGACCGGGGAGGGCAACTTCAACTGGCGCTATATCTTTCCTTTCGACTATCTAGCAGCTGAGGAGAAGATCGTCATCTCTAAGAAAGAGTCTATGTTCTCCTGGGACGAGACCGAGTACAAGATACCGGCCCGACTCACGCTACAGGTGTGGGATGCCGACCACTTTTCCGCTGATGACTTCCTTGGTGCGTAAGGACGCTTCGGCTGTGGATCACAGCATGGGGATGGGGGAGAGGAGAGGACTGCCCTCTGCTTCAGAGCAGAGTTGAGGGGGGGGGGGAACAGGGACCTCCATGTTGGAGATCACAAACGAACAGGTTTTAAGACAGCAAAGAGATCACCTGTAGTCTGACTTCCCCAGTTGTTTGGGTCAGGAATTCTTGGAATTGTTTGCCTCATTAGTTGTTCTGCTATGTCCATCATGTTTGCAGAAAAGTTACACCTTCTGTTTCTAGGGCCAAGTTATATAGTCATATCAGCATTTGAAAAATGTTCTTTGAGTGGGTTCCATGAAAATGTTGGTGAGTAGTGAAGCAGCAGCAGTCTCTGCACTCAACCAACATTCACCTGTCCACTCTTTCTGACAAGCAAATCCTCTTGAGCAGTGAAAAGTACTGAGACTTACTAGTGATTTCAGCTCTCATACTTTTATTTAGGAAAGAACAAGACAAAGTTCCCGGCTCGCAGGCCGGCTTATATGTGCAATAAACCCCACACCCAAAGACACCCCACACTCGTGATAGGCTATTTATAGTGGCTGAGAGTTCCATAGGCTCACGGGCGGAAGCCTAGCCCTCTGAGCGGCACGGGCTAGGATCCGCTTGGGCCAGTGTCTCTGGAAGTGAAGCTCGGGCGCTTCGCATGACCGCGTGGAGACTTAGCCTCGCACGTGGTCGGAGATGGATACATTACAACCAGTTCCCATGAGGCCATCAATCACCATGAGCAAGGGGATATGTACCAGGCTGTTTCAACCTTAGCTGATGCACGTTTTACTCATAAACATGTCTCATTGAGTTCAGCTGGACATTTGTGTGCTAAGGAAAATGCCCAACAGTAATTGATCTTTGTTCTTCATAAATACAGAATTTTTTCAGTTCTTATTGCTAGTGACATGGAGGGAATGCCTTGAGTTGCTTGAAGAGAAATATACAAATATGCACAGTTGTTGTGTGGCCTAGTGCTCAAATTGTCAAACAAAAACTCAGGAGATTTGGGTTCAAATCTATACATCATGAAGCTCGGTGGGTGGCCTTGGGCCAGACTCTCCTCATAGCCTGCATCACTGGGCTGTTGAGAGGGTAAAAGGCAGCATTTGCACTCCTCCATGATGTGGAAAGAAGTCTCTCAAGGGCTGTGACAGCCAATGCTCCCTCTAAGCTGTGGAGTCTTGTGAGCAAAAATTCTACTTTGTGAGCCACTAGCATTAAAGTTGTGAGCTACTGCATAAATTAGTTTGCTCTGGAGCCATCCTTCCTGAGCTAAGGCAAAAATGTGTGAGCCAGAGGCTAAAAAACTGTGAGCTAGCTCACACTAACTCAGCTTAGAGGGAACACTGGTGACAGCTGCAGGCCTCCAAACCTGGAACAAGCACCTAAGAATATAAGAAGAGCCCTGCTGGATCAGACCAGTGGTTCATCTAGTCCAGCATCCTGTCTCACACAGTGGCTGACCAGTTCCTCTAGGGCCAACAACAGGGCACAGAGGCCGAGGCCTTCCCCTGATGTTGCCGACTCTGGGATTCAGAGGTTGACTGTTTCTGAACATGGAGGTTCCCTTCAGTCACCATGGCTAGTAGCCACTGATAGACCTATCCTCCATGATAGACCTATCCTCTATTTGATCCTCTTTAAAAGCTGTTTATTCCTGTGGCCATCACTACATCCTCCGGCAGAAAATTCCACATTTTAATCACTCTCTGTGTAAAGAAGTGTTTCCTTTTGTCCGTCCTGAATTGACTGCCCATCTTCCAGCTCTCTCTTCACCCCATTCTTTAGGCAAGAACTACTGCTTGCTGCAGCTTGTTTGCGTTCCCATCATCAGGGGTGTGTGTGTTGGTTTAGAGGAAATTAGGAAATTCGTACACTGGCTCAATTCCTGGGCTGTCCCTAACTAAATAGGGAGCTGTGCTACTGAGTGAGCAGTGTAGTCAGCTGTTTTTCCATGGAAAAGGAGAGGGATATCAAGAAAGAGGGGTCTTGATGCTTGAGTACCTGTACTGGGGACAGGAAGCCACTACAGTCACTGGGACCCTTCTGTCCCAAGAGACAAACATGAATAAAGCATCCCTTTTATGGGGGAAGGCTGGTTTGCACAAAGAAGGTCCCTGCTTCAGTCTCTGGCATCTTCAGTTCAAGGATGTCAGGTAGCAGGAAAGGCCAAAGACCTTGGAGAGCTGCTGCCAGTCAGGAGAATAAAATTCTGAGCTAAAGAGACCAGTGGTCTGACTTGGTATAAGGTAGCTTAGTATGTCTGTATCTCAAGATTGCCTGATGATTCTGAGACAAGGTAAGAATCTGGGGGGAGGGAGGTAAAAAATGTGGGTGTTAGGCATGTCAGGACCACCACCAGCCACTCTCAACACTTCAGCCTTGCCTGCCACACGGTCTAGCAACATTGCTGTCTTCTCCCTTCCAGGAGCTATTGAGCTTGACTTGAACCGCTTCCCGCGTGGCGCTAAGACAGCCAAGCAATGCAGCATGGAGTTGGGAACTGGCGAGGCAGAAGTGCCCATGATTTCCATCTTCAAGCAGAAGAGGGTGAAGGGCTGGTGGCCCTTCTTGGCAAGAGACGAGAATGATGAAATGGAGATCACGGTAATGCAGTTGGGGATGGGGGTCACACTATCTTTGCTCAGAGCAGAGTGAGGTTAGGGTATCGAAGGACTACTTTCAGGGAGCATTAGAAGAGGACCCCAGGCAAAATGGCAGCAGGGAAAAGAGGGGCGGGGTGGAAGAACCAGGCAGGAAAAATGGAGAATGCATGTGCAAGATGTGAGGAGGATCTGGGCATTATCATGGTGGACATGTTACCCAAGTGGCCTACACGTGTACGCATCTTGACTTATGCATGTCAAGTGCACATGAACACTTGTACTCAGGGCAACGATTACTGGAACCTTCTGTCTGGTGTAGACCAGGTCCAAGATTTAGACAGCACCTCATATAAAGTGTGCAGACTCTTGGAAATAAACAGGCATAGATTCAAAGCTGAAAGTTTATTAAGAAAACTAATAGCATGGGGAATTAGCTACCAAGTGAAAGGAGCATGCACTCACACAAGCATACACTAAATAACAATTCTAGAAACCCAAACTTTTATTAAATCCTAACCTTAGCAAGTTTTACTAGTCTAAAGAGAGAAGGGTAAGGAGGAAATGAACATACAAGCCTGCCCTGCATGTGGAGTACAGGAAGGTTCGTCGGAAGGGAAAAGCAACAGTGGAGGGAGCAAAATGGGCATACAGCACAGACTTTGGGGCACCTGTGCTGGTCACAGGGGCGATGCAGCTTCATACATATACCCCCACTCTACTTTCCACCAACACCAAGGTAGAAAACAAACTAAATATCAGGGGTCCCCAAAGCTATCTTTATACTAAAAAAGTGTTAAGATAGCGGTAGGGTCCAGGATGCTTATCAAAACAGTTTGGATTGGAGTGAAAAGTTTCAAATCTTATTGGCATATCAAGTGAATAATGATTTGGTGGGAAGGTATCTCCCACGGAGAGGGGAATTGGGGAGTGTCAGTGCCTTCTTTGATGAGGTTTATAGCCCAAATAAAACAACAAACTGAGCTGTATGGTTGCCATTTGTTGAGACTGAATTCCAGCAGAAACATAGCAAAGGGAATAAAAATATCAACCTGAGAGGTGGATGTGCCTGCATGTCACTTCTAAATCTTTGGCAGGGCCTGGTGTCAGTGTTCCCTCTAAGCTGTGGAGTCTTGTGAGCAAAAATTCTATTCTGTGAGCTACTGGCATTAAAGTTGTGAGCGAGTGATTTGGCTGCTGCATAAATTAGTTTGCTCTGGAGGCCTCTTGCCTGAGCGAAGACAAAAACGTGTGAGCTGGAGGCTAGAGAACTGTGGGTTAGCTCACATTGACTCAGCTTAGAGGGAACATTGCCTGGTATGTGTTTATGCAATACAAGAATCAGTTAACTGAGATACTGTGGAAGGATCATGTGAGTGGATACAAGTGGATATTCCATTCCCAAGCAAATTGTCAATTACCTTTCTTCCTCCCTTTGAGAAAGGGCAGATGCTTCAGTGCACTGAGACTCCCCTTTTGCTCCCAGATTAACGTGATCTTCTAATATTGCAAAACTTGGATGACACTGAATTAAAAAAAATAAATGAAAAGACTGCATTGCCCTTCTGGGGGAGATTCTATGGAGGGCTCCCAGCAACAGTCCAGGATACTGATCTGAGGTCTTCCTTGCTCACTATAGACATCTGCCATGTGTTGGGATATGTGGTTTCATCAGAGAGAGAAAGGTGGACAGATTGCACTGCTTTTGTATTCTGTGATCACAGCTCCCTCCCAGCTCTCTGAGTTTATGTGAGGGTATGGGTCAAGGGCTAGGGACTGTCTACACCCTCGTTCCCCCAGTCTGACTCTACTTGTTTCTGGGATATCTCTGTCCTGTGCATTTATTTAGAGAATGTACAGGCTGATTTTTATTTTTTTTAAAAATTCCCAAAGTGGCATACACATTTTTAAAAAACCCAAAATTAATTTAAAACAATTAAAATTACATGAAACAATGACTGAAAATGGAAACTAGATTTACAAAACAATTAAAAAACCAACCAGCTATTAAAAACCTTAGCAAATAAAAGGCTCTTGAAATCTGGCACCAAAAAGATAACCGTGGAGGGGAAGGGTGTGCCATACATGGGGCTGCCTGTCCCGCAGCCCCCTGCCTGACCTATAAAGACTGGGACACCCAGAGAGGGCCTTCTGAGCAGATCTCAGGGTTTCAGCAGGTAGCACATCTGCCCTGATGCTGGTTAGCAGTATGGCATTGTGTGCCTCCTTCTGTCAACTGCTTAGTTCCCAGAGTGATATACATTCTGATCCCTGCAGGGGAAAGTGGAAGCTGAGCTGCACCTTCTGACAGCCGAGGAAGCAGAGAAAAGCCCGGCCGGGCTGGCTCGTAACGAGCCCGACCCATTGGAGAAACCCAAGTGAGTGGTGGGAAACGATGCAAATGACTCTTGAGTGTCTAAACACCCCAGATGGGGACCTTGGGGGCGGGGCGGACCTGTCTTGAACAGGGATGTGTACCGATAATGGCAGCTGAATGTCTTGGGTGGGGATGTCTGCCAGGAATTGGAGGTTGCCGTTAACGTTCCCGCCTCCATTGACACCATTCATCTCTTCCTGTCTCTGTCTCCCCCTCCCCCCCCCCACTTCCTGGCTCTCTTCCTTCTCCTTGTCCCATCCTGCTCTCCTGCCCCAGCCGCCCAGATACCAGCTTCATCTGGTTCCTGAACCCTCTCAAGTCTATCCGCTACTTTATCTGGCACACGTATCGTTACTGCTGAAAATTCTTCTCCTCGTTCTCTTGCTCCTCATGGTCGGCCTCTTCTTTTACTCCATGCCTGGCTACCTGGTCAAGAAGCTTCTTGGGGCCTGAGGGTGCCTGGCGCTTTGTCCAGGGTACTTCTTTCTCCTGCCTCATGCCACACAATAGGAGCACAAGGGGAATGGGGGAGTGGGGAGGTGGGAGTGCCAGGTGAATCACAGGAATTCCCTTTGACTCTTATGCCAACTGTGGTGCCAATGGCCAGACTGTTGGGTTGGGACCAGTGAGACCTGTGTTCAAATCCTACCCTGGCGTGAACTTTACTAGGTAGGATTAAGCGTGTTACGGTATCACAGCCTTACCTACCTCACAGCCTTGTTTTAAAGAGGAGTTCTGAGCTCCTTAGAAGAAAAGTAAGATAAAACATGAAATAAATGATGATACTGGCTTGTATGCTATGACTGCATTCTGTGTGTGCTGGACAGTTTATCTGCCAGTAGCATTTCTGTTCACACAAGGGCTCATTAAAAAATACTGATCTTGCATGAGCAGAAATGCTAGTGGCGGAATAAGCACAATCTGCAGCAGAGGCTGTCCAGCACACGTGGGATATGGTTGTAAGATACAAGCCAAGAAACCGTTGTGAAGACCATGTGGATCAAAAATGTGATTAAATTCCACTCCCCTCAAGCCCAGTTGCATGAGGGCAAGGAGTCGCTACTCAGCGAAAAAGGAAAGAGGCTTTTCACATGCCCAAAGACACTCTTGTGTTTACTGCTGTCACACACAGTTCCATAATTGAACAATTTGAAGTCAAGCCCTGATCCATCTTAAGAACCCTAGCAAGGAAGAATCTTGGTGAGGAAAGACCACCAGATAATGCCTGGCCTATCACCTGAGAACTGGGCATGCTCCAAGGTGTTCTGTCACCCTGTGAGAAACACCCTGCTGGATCAGACCAAAGAGCAGTACATCTAGTTGAGCCTCCTGCTTCCTATGGTGGCCAGCCAGCTTCCCCCAGAAAGCCCACAACAGGGGTCCTCCCCTTGTCGCTGCCCCCCAACAGCTGGCATGTAGAGGTATTCTGCCTCTGAACCAGGAGATCCCAGTCCGAGCCTCAGCAGCATTGCATGGGGTCCTGCGTCAGAGTCATTGCACATGACTTCACTGGTGCCTAAACAACCCAGTGAACTGTTCATAGGCCATGTATCAACAACCCAGTTTTTGCAAACTGTGGGCTCAACTACTAGGGTTGTCAAGCAACTCAAAGACAAGAGCTAGGGAGCTGAACCTGGCTTGGCCTAAAACCACTGCCATTCAGAGAGTTCTTGGTCTGTTTATGGAGTCAGCCCAGCAGCATCAGTAGGAAAGTGCCAAGCCTCACTCTCTGTCTCCACCATGAGAGGGGAAAATAAACTTTCCCATTGAGCTGCAGGTGCCAGGTTTTTCGAGCAAGGCCTATAGTTGGAGGAGTTAGAGATGGGGACCTAAAGGAGCCACATCCATTGCCCTTCCTGATCTTGTGTGTTGTTTTCTCCTCCCCCCCCCCCCCCCCATAGGCCCCCCCCCCGTCTCCCCCCCCCCCCCCCCGCAGTCGTCCGGACACATCCTTTATCTGGTTCCTGAACCCACTCAAGTCTATCAAGTACCTCATCTGCACTCGTTACAAATGGCTCATCATCAAGATCGTTCTGGCCCTCCTGCTGGTCATCATGGTTGGCCTCTTCCTCTACTCCATGCCAGGCTACATGGTCAAGAAGCTTTTGGGGGCATGAGGACACTGCCCCGTCCAGGTTCTCCTCCCCATTCTCCCAGTGTTCTTGGTCACTGCCTCGCGTTTGTGTTTCTCTTTTGTGGCCTCCTTGTGTTTCCTTTCGGGAATCAGGGTGGGAGAGGAGAAGTTCAGATTTTATTTTGCTTTGAACCTTTGTCTTGGAAAGGGGGCGAGGGGAGCGGTCAGCCCCTTAAATCTGGATTCTTACCTTAAGCGTTCCTCTCAGTCCCCAGGCGAAGTCTTGAAGCTGGAGCATTTCTTAGGTCAGCTGTCCTACGAGGCCTTTCCCGTCTGTTCTTACAGGCAACTTAGCTGGAGCATTCTCCACCACTGAGCCAATGGTGAGGTTGGAGCTGCCTCAGGCCACAGTTTCTGCTCTGTGTGAGTTTGGCATGTCCCATCTTTCCTCTGTTTTACTTACATAATCAAGGCCCTTTATCCCTCCATGAGGACTAGGAACTTGAAGGCCAGATCTCCTGCTCACTCTTGGTTTGAAACTGGTTAAGAGAATTCGGGCCTCTGCTTGCTGTCTGACAATGTCATTTCCTTTGCTGAGGAGAAAGCCCGCCCACTGCTCCTTCCCAGTTCCTGTCATCTTGGCTCCCTGCTGCTTTTCACCCAAACAGAAACTGAACTTCACAGCCCTGGAGCTGCACTTGCCCACTGAAAGGGGCCCCTTATCCTACACTGATGGGTACAATGTGCAAGGCTAGTCAGCTCACCAGCGGCAGGCAGTGACAGAGTGTCTTCACCAGGGGCGGAGCCACTGCAATGGACTGAGCAACGCATCATGGGGTGCCTGTTTGGAATCTTGTTTACAAATCAGGGGAAGTCCCCAGTTTGAAGGCCACTCCTGTCACGAACTCCTAGGTGGCCTTGATGAGCCAATCTCGCTTGGCCTCACCCAGGCTCTCACCCCACCTGCAATTGGGGAATAACAGTAACTGGACCTGCCTTACAGGGGTCATGAAGGTTACTGAGATAATTTGAATCAACTTGAAATCACTTCATAAATGCTAAGCATTATCAAAAATATATATACATGGGGCCTCTCACACAGGATCTTTGATGATCCAGCCTCTTCCGGAAGAACCTGGACATTTAGTTGAGATTGGGAAACACAGCAATAGAGGCAAGAGGGAAGATCCAGACTCTCCAGCCCCGAGGCTACGATGGAGACCGTTCCCATTTTTTGGCCACATTTCCTGAGAAATGGACAACCTGCCGTTTTGGGAGAGTACATGTGTAACCCCTGATGACTGTGTCTGGAGCAGCTGTCTATCCATTTAACTTGGAAGGTCACTGCCTTTCGTGGCCTGTGGGTCAGGAGACAAGCAGGGGTCCCATTCCTAAATCCTAATTCCCTATCCAGAATCTTTCTCTTTTTGCTTGTCATAGCAGCACCTTTGCCTGGTCAAATAAGGCACTCCGTTCCACTGGGCCACTGAATTCAGACCTAAAGACTTATATCTGAATTGCACATCATGGCCGTTGGGGACTTGGGAGGGCATGAGAAAGGGACTGCTGGTAAAGCCTAGAGAGTAGCAAGGGGAAAAGAGTAAAAAATGCAGCTTGACTCTGTCAAATGCTGTGCGGGCTATGCTTAAGTGTTTACGTCGTGGGGGCACCGATACCAGCAGATAGTGGTGCCACAAGGTGATTCCCCAAAGCCACAGAGGTTTGAAGGATTTGCTAATCCCCGAATCTGGCAGGGTCTTTAGTCCACTGTTTTTGCTACACTCCAAATGAAAGAGCAGATGAAGTATCACAGAAGCCAGGTAAATGGTGCCTTCTTGCTCTTGGGAGAGCCCTATTGCCTACACAAAAGACTCAGTAGTGCTTGGGTACCCCCCCCCACCCCCATTGTCAAAGTGCTGTTTACATTGTTCCATTCCACAGGAACGTGAATCTGTTCCTCCCTGCACCTCTCCCAGAGCTCTGGAGACAAGCAAGGAGGATGGATCTGAGATTACTAAAGAATGCTCCTGTGGTTCAACGGCAGGTGTCTTGTTCACAGCCTCTACCCCATGAGACTACATCCACAAACGGCTGGAATTCCTGAATGAGTCCATCCGTCAAACATTTCTGTTCCTTTCCCGGGCATTTGGACCCAGAGGGCAGTGCTCACATGACGGCACAGCACAGGGAACACGACTAGCCACCACTGGGGGCTCCAGCAGTCACAGGGAGAGAGAGGCCAGGGCAATGGCAACACGGAGGCAAGAGGCAGAGGAGGGCCCAGGGGTAAGACAGAGAGCAGCAGGTCTTTTCAAGAAACCAGCACAATTATTTTCTGTTTGTTTCAACTGCAGCTCTGAAACACCCAAGGGAGGAGTGTTTCACGAGGGCTGCTTTCCTTTCTCTTTCCCCGGTGTGTGCAAGATTGGTCCTATTTCTCCCCTGTTACGGGGAGAGTTCTGGTGGGGGTGGGTGGGGGTATTCTCTGTGCACTGTTGTTAATAAAGGGACTTTGGAATTTGCTGTAAGAGGAAATCTTTAAGTTCTTTAATAAAAACAGATCACCAGAAAGGAGCAGAGTCCGGCTTTCTTTATGGAGGATGAGAAAAGTGAAGAGTGTGGGGAAGATGGAAGATCCAGGAATATGCATACCCCTCACCCTTTCTTCAATCTCTGATTCCTGAAATCCTTAAAATGCCCCCCACACACACCAGGATGCGCTTCACAGTGTTTCTAAATCTGTGATGTAGTCCCATGCAGGATACTGAACAGTTCTGGTCACCCCTTCTCGAAAAGGGTACACTAAAGCTGAAATGTCTATAGGGATGTAGCACCTTTCCAACGAGGAAACACTACAGTGCTTAGTTGAAGACTAGGTCAAATTATAGCCAGTTATCAAGTATTTGGATGGGAGACCTCCAAAGAATACCAAGGCCAGGAGGCAGAGGCAGGCTATATCAGCCACTTCTATGAATATCCTCCGTGCCTCAGTACGGGTTGCCAGAGGTTGTCATGACTTCCAGGCACAGGAACACATGCGCACACACACAATACAAAAATATCCCCCCCCAAAAAAATTATAGCCAGTTATCAATGACGACAATTGCAGACGACAAACACGGGTAAATGAACACACATCCCTTTCTCCAATCTATTCTGTTGTCTCCTCAGGAGGCAGCAAAAATCAGACCGAGAAATGGGAAAGTTGGTCAACCATTTTATTTGCTTCTTCTCCCTTGCAATACTTAGAAACAGCCCTTCCCTCAAGCATTTTTGCAATGAACACGCAGGCAGGCAGGCAGGCAGGCAACTGAAGAGCAACTACTCAGTGCACCAAAAGTGGGTTTTTACATAAAGAGGCAGATCTGGTCCCTCCTGCCTGCTCCGTCCCTCACCCTGTTCAATTCCCTCCTGCCCACACCTGGAACTTTGCTTGCTGCAGCAAGTGATGGAGAGGGGCAAGAAGCAGGCCAGGGGAGGGTGGAAGGAACTGTGGCCAACTTCCCTCTGGCTGCATCAGGTGACTTAAGAAAATGTACCTGGGGAAAGGGCCGAGCCCAACAGTTAATATTTCTGGAGGACTGGGAAGGGGGCCACAATGCTGGTTTTTGTGAATGCTCTGGAATGTGCCAGGCGGTGCATGGTCCAAGTCCCAATTTGGGTGGGTGGGGATCGCAGCACTTGCAAAACCAGTTCAATCCACCCAACCCCCCCCCCCCGAAAAGTTCTCACATCTGGTCTCTGCCAGGCAAAAAAAGGGGGGGGGGGGAGGCGCTGTTCTGTGGCTCACTGCAAAGAAGAGGCTGCTCACCAACACACTGCCTGCACGAGCACTCAAGGGTAGCAGAGGAGCCTCAGGCCAACCCTGCTCATCCCCACATGTCTCTTCAGCTGTAAACCCAAGTAAGTAACCCCAGCAGGCTCCCTGGAACACCTCCCACTCACACGCCAGGCAAAGAAGAGATGACGCTGCTGGGAAAGCCATCAGCCCTGCTATTCCGGCAGCGGAGACGATCGCGGGGGACCGGGCTGCAGGTTCAGGAGGTGGGTGGGAGGGATCAGCAGCTCAGCGTTGACCTGCAAAAAGGAGGCATGGCACACAGTAGGAGTTTGTTCTTCCCCAGCTCCTCCCAAAAATTCACGGATCAGCCCATGCCCAGTCTTAGGTGGAATGCAAAAACAATGACTCAGGGGAGGGGAGGTGTGTGCGCTAGAAACCTCCCATATAGCAGCATTAACCACGTGGAGACCAAGGCATTTGCAGGTTGTGGACACACAACAGGTCAACCACTCTCACACTTAACACTCCCCCAGATTTCCAAGCAGTTTTGGGAACGTGGAAACATTCCTGTCGTCATTGAGCTACATGTACAGATGACTGACTCTATCTGGCCAGAGCCATCTCTCTCTGTCCTCAAGCTGCTTCAGTGAATGTAGGTACAGCCATTACCAGCTGAAATCCTTACTCATGGTCTCACATGAGAAAGAAGTCTGCTGCTAGATTAGAAGACAGTGCTGCTTAGATTAAAAGCGTGCATGCTGTGAAAGGGCCACAGTTCACAAGAGTTGCTTCGCGATGCTCGTTCTTCTCCTGCAGAGACTATACATGACACCCCCCCCCCCAAACACAGATATGGTCTTTCGATACAGACTTCCGTCTGATTCAGCAAACCTCCAAGTACTGGTATCCTGCAAGTTTCCAGGCTGGCCTTCAATGGGTCTTCATAGCTAAGGATGGACCATCCTTCGCCCCAAAGTTTAAGTGGCCACCACCTCCTAAATGATTCTGGCTTTTCCACATATTAATCTAAAGACCTCTAGGGAAGGATTGTGCCACTGTTTTGCCTAGTGACTCATGCTATATTTAGCAGGAGAAGAAATGTAGGCCGCAAGCGCCATCAACAGGTTAGAGATCTGGGGACTGTGAGAGCTTTTCCCGATCATCAATGTTAGAGACCAGACAGACATACAGATGAGATACAGAATTCCGGGAGTCCCTGCCCCTCGCTTTGGCTACTAGTGGCTCTTCTCCTCCCAAAACAGACAGCCAATCCTGTGCAACTCAGCTCCTTCTCTGGCAACCCATCCCTTTACTTACTGGAGAATGCAGATACTGATGGAGCAGCATCCGCAGCTCTGCATTCTGCTTCTGCAGCCCATCCGTCTCCGTGATCAACTTGTCTCTCTGAGTCAGAATGTAGCTGGACAGATGGGAGAAAAATAATGGTCAAAAAGGCATTTGGCCTAGCATTGGTAAGAGAAGTCCTTGGCTCCTCCTGTCGTGATCCTGTGTCCCAGGCCCGTAGCCATGGTGGCCCAAAAGGGAGAGTGCCCCGTCCATCATTTGCCATGCCCCTCCAGTCGGCACTAGGGGTTGCTGCGAAATCCATCTCAAGTCTTTTAAGTGTAAATTCTCTACTAAGAACGGAAGGAACTGAGGTAAAAAGGTGTGAATCCTGCCATAAACCTTCCAAAAATAAATCTATGCAATTGGCTAGAACAGAATTAGCAGTTAGCAGGACTGCAGAGTCCTGATTTTAAAAGTCTGTGGGGGGGGAGAGAGAGAAATAAAATAATGTTGGAGTAAAGTAGAGAGAGGTAGAAAGATTGAGGAATGAAGGGGTAAAAATTATGTTGTAGCAGATTCAGAAGAAAGAAAAGACAAAGAAACAGGACAGAGAAACAGGACAACTGTCCCACAGAACTTATTGCTGGGGAAATTATTGTTGATGGAACAAGAGAAAAATAATAAGGGATTAAGGCCCAGAGCTAAGTGAGCACAAATCTTTAGCTAATATATACTACCCCACAAGAATCTTATTCACAGGGGATGGTTGTGGTATTTGCTGTGAAGATCAAACGTTGCTGGGAAAGAATCCCTTACCTGCGGGCAGCTCAGGGATCATGCCGCTATTGCTTGACTCTGGGTGTTCACTTAGAAAAGAATCCTACTCATTGCCTGATCCTATGCATTTAATTTAATTTACTTTTTTAATAGTCTACCTTTCTCCCTGAGACTCAAAACAGATTACACAGCACAAGTCAATCCAAACAGATGAGACGTCTAATAAACAGGCCAACAAGACCAGGATTACAGCAATTTGAAACAGAGCAAAAATCATTACACGTGGTATGTCAATGTGGCAAATGGTGTTACAAATGTACAAAGCAATGCAGTAAGGGCAGGATAATACATACAGCAAACAGATAATACACAATACACAGTGACACAGTCCACAATTCTGTTCCTTTTACAAAAGCTCCTTCCTGAACCATTCCATTATCATGTAGCCCTATTACCTTTATAAAAATGGCCTCCGTCTTGACTCCTCCTGTGTTACGCAGTTTGCAGAATGCCAAAAGTGCGGGAGCTATCCTGACTTCCTCAGAAAGGCCATTCCACAAAATGGGAGTCGCAACAGAAAATGCGTGCGCACGGGCAGTTGCTGATCTTACTGATTTGTCTGGTTGGCACTATTAGGAGCCTTGAGCGAGTGATTTACAGGGAAAAGAAGGTTGTATTTACAGTTTCAGTGACTGGAATAAAGGCTCCCACACTTCTTTAATTCTGCAAGCTATGTAAAACAGTTATTTGGGAGGGCATTTTTATAAGGCTAATACAGAACAGGACTGTACTTATGCCACAGTGTACGCTAGACATTATTGATTTGTCTTATGTTCTATCAGGTTCTTATAGCATTGGTTTTCAGTTTTTGTAATTCCTTTTTCTGCATTGCTTGACATAGCATGCCTGAGTCTCAAGTAGAAAATTGATAAATAAATAATAAAGAACAAATAAATAAATAAAGTAAATAAATAATGACGGGCTGACCACCCACCGCTGTACTCATCCCCCCACCCCAATAAAATTTCTGACTATGGGCCTGCTGTGTCCTTAGAAAAACGTAGATGAACCTACTATGGAAGAGTCCTTCCTAACCAGCTCAAAAAGTGATCCAATGAAAAAGCCAAAAAAAAAAAAAGAAAAAGACTAATGCTAGCAAAGTGAGACCAATATGTGGCTACAAAAAAGCAGGTCCCTGGGAGGTCTTGATAGGATGCCCTTCCTTTTAAAGGAAACAGGTATTCTTTCATCTCACCACCAGAGGCCACTCTAGGCTAAGACATCTGGCACAAGGAGTCCTCTAGGCCCATCATCTGACCAATCTGCTGTCTTCCAGGTTCTCAGTTTCCACCTCATTGGAACCTGTTACGGTTCTGCAGGGACCTGTTACGGTTCTGCAGAGCCTGTAAAACAGAGCTCTTCCGCCAGGCTTTTGAAGCCGCCGCCACCACCACTGCCACCATTGATATCCTATGAAGCCATTGATAGCCTATGAAGAGCAAGCCCGACCATCTGGGTCCCACAATTACAGCTCGAGCCGACCGACCGGACATTTGAGGAGTATCAAGAAGCTGACTGTACACCGAGGACTGAACACTAGTCCTTTAGTATGCTGTAACATTTATAGTTTTAAATTGTGTATTGATGGTTTCTATATTGTAGATTTTATTGCCACATTGCAGTGTTTTATACTGGTTGTGTGAGCAGCCCTGAGCCGGCTCTGCTGGAAGGGCGGGGTAAAAATCTAATAAATAAATAAATAAATAAATAAATAAATTGTCCCTGCAAAATGCAGGCACGGGGGCCTCTGGGCTCACTTACTCGTATTTCCGCAAGGCTTCTATCAGTGCATCCCACAACTTCAGCTTCCCATCCGGGATGACGTGGGCCAATGCGTCCCAATACTCAGAGTCCTTGGAGGTGTCCCGCTCTTCTTGTACATGCTTCAAGCAGGGGTGCTTCCCCCTAGAGGCAAGGGGGAGGGGCTGATTGGGCTGGAAGTCAAGGGATTCAGCTGGAGCCAAGTCCAGCTGCACGTCTCACCATAGTGCATCCAGGACCTCATCTATCCACTCCATTTTTTGCCCACCCTTCCTCCAAGGAGCTCACTGCAGCATACAGTGTCCCCACTTACATTTGATCCTCACAACAACCCTGCAAGGTAGGTTAGGCTGAGTGCCCCAAGTTCGCCCAATAAGCTTGGCGGCAGAGTGGGGATTTGAACCCAGGTTTCCCCAGTCTGAGTCCCACACCTGGGCTCTCCAGGCTAATCCCATCACCCTCGGTAGCTGCTAGCACGGGCAAAGGCTGATTCACGCTACCAAAACTAAACCACAGGGAACTGCCATTTGTCTGTGTGTCAACAGTGGAGCTCACTCCTTGCCCCACAACTTTTGAAATGCAGCTCAGGATGTGAACCACAATCTCAGTGGTCAGAGAACCGGCCAGCAAAGTAAGACACGGTGCCTGCTTCTCACTCTGGCATCTTATCAAAAGGGTCTCCTCCTTTATGGATCCAACTTTTATAGTGCCCTTCTTCTAAGGAACTCCTAGGGGTTTCCATTTCCCCCCGTTTCGTTCTTCACAACACCCCTGGGGCCTGTGGTGAAGGGAAGCAGCGTCCACTTGTACCTGCTTTCCAGGTACTCCGCAGCATGACCAGGACGGCTGCTGCCTTCCGTTCTGGCTCAGGCCCCGTCCTTCCGACGCATCCCATTCCCTGCCTCGGCATCCCAAGCCAGCACTTCCTCCCTCCATTCAGTCCTACCTTGGCTCCTTGAACTCCTGCACAAAAGCCCTCAGGGCCTTCAGGATGTCATTGGGGTGCATGTATATAGTGGAGGGGTCCACGGCTGAGCCCACAAGACCCTTGGCCTCCTCTCGCGTCACAGAAGAGGCCTCTTCTTCACTGGTTGCTGCTGCATCTCGAGGTGCTTCTTCGGGAGCAGCGTCTGCCGTCACCTCTGTCTCCTACGCGACAATGAGAATTCCCTCAGAGATCTCCGGGCAGCCTGGAGGGCTTATCCAGATTTATAAGGGAGGATTAGGCCAAAGATGAAAAACAAGCAAAAGCTTGGTGAAAATGTTAACAATACATAAATTTTATCATTGGTAGCGTGAAGTACAACTTGCATTGTCACAGACTGGTGGCCGGCAAACCAGAGAGAAGCAAGATTCCAATCATTCCCTGTTCACGAATTTTCTAAGGGCCTTTAGTTGCCCACAGGATGTTCATACAGGAGGATTATTTGGGCAAGTCTTAAATATGACCCTCCCCACAACACACACACACCATTACTTCAGGGAAGTCCATCCACTTAGCCTTGTAATCCATGAAGAAGTCCACCATGTAATACAAATCATCTTCATTATCGATTGACAGGGCCTGGGGAGGAGCAGAGAAAGATTACAGGTCAGCTGGATCAGCGGCAAGAGCCCAGATGGTAGCGAATGCCAGTCTTCACGCAGGTGTGTGAGCTTCTCTATTGTTTCTTCCTGAGCGACTGAGAAAGGGGAGAGTCAGACAGCTCAGACTTCCACAGGTGTGTAGTCTGTTACCAAAGCATATACTCAGGCACATCTCTTAACTGTTACTCTCTGTTTACCCTGGTGATTCATGCAACCTCATATGGCAAGGTGGTATTTGTCAAACTGCAGTGTACCAGTGAAATTCCCAGCTCTTTGCCCATGTCAGGAGGCCCCATGGACAGAAAACTGAAAGAATAATGCATTGTAATTTCTCTGAAAAACCGACTCCAATCTTCCAGCCAGCCACAGCTTTGCTGGCAAGGGAGAGGCAAACTGAGCACCAGCCAAAGTCAATGAGGGATTCTGGCCACAAAAGGTCAGAGTGCCTGTTAGTAGGATGGATGGATGGATGGATGGATGGATGGATGGATGGATGGATGGATGGATGGGGAGGGGCCTTGCATGTTCGGAGCTCTGCATTCAGGGATGCTGCACTGCTCACCACTGATGATTGAGAGACACCCCTTACAGGGGAAGCCAAACCTGACCCCTGCTCTTGGCAGTCTTTGTGTCTGGAAAAGGAAGCCTTTGCCCTTTTCCCAACTATGCCCAGACGGCAGTCCAGAATGGGAACCACAGACAGCCATTTGCCCTTATCGCCACAGCTCTCCATTTGGTTCCATCCCTCAGTTTCATCAGAGCACTGTCTTCATCCTTTCCAGACCAGGATGCACCTTATAACCCCCACCTGCTACATGGGCCCCACTTTCCAGTTTTTACTACCCACACCTTGTCTTTCTGCTTCTCCCTCCTTATCTCTCCCCATGCGTCCCCCATCTGTCGTCCTTTCCTTAAAAAAAAAACACTATTGATAAAAGACAAAAATAAGCCTTCTTGCCCATTTGTTATAGACCAAGGCCCTCATAAGTGACAAAACCGGGGGCAACCATCCATTATAGGTTTACTCTGTAGAAATAAAGAGTAGCTCAGAGGACTGAAAGAGTCTTGCTTGAAATGGTGGAGAGAGCCAGCCCCTCTCGGCAAGAGAGACAGAGACAAGCCAGGCAACCCCGAGCAAAACTCAGCCCATCAGCTTCATAAGAACATAAGAACATAAGAGACGCCAATGTTGGATCAGGCCAAAGGCCCATCCAGTCCAACACTCTGTGTCACACAGTGGCCAGAAATACCAGTGCCATCAGGAGGTCCAGCAGTGGGGCCAGGACATTAGAAGCCCTCCCACTGTTGACCCCCCCCCCAAGCACCAAGAAGACAGAGCATCACTTGCCCCAGAGCCCCTAGCTATACCTTGTGGCTAATAGCCACTGATGGCCCTCTGCTCCATATGCTTATCTAATTCCCTTTTGAAGCCGTCCATGCTTGTAGCACCCACCACTTCCTGTGGCAGTGAATTCCATGTGTTAATCACTCTTTGGGTGAAGAAGTACTTCCTTTTATCCGTTCTAACCCGACCGCTCTGCAGTTTCATGGAGTGCCCACGAGTTCTTGTATTGTGAGAAAGGGAGAAAAGTACCTCTTTCTTTACCTGCTCTTTCCCATGCATAATCTTATAAACCTCGATCATGTCACCCCTCAGTCGTCTTTTCTCCAAGCTAAAGAGCCCTAAGCGCTTTAACCTTTCCTCATAGGGAAAGTGTTCCAACCCTTTTATCATTCGAGTTGCCCTTTTCTGCACTTTTTCCAAAGCTATAATATCCTTTTTAAGGTGTGGTGACCAGAACTGCACACAGTATTCCAAATGAGGGGGGACGCTCCTGACAGCCCCTGGTTCTCCATCTTGGAGTCAGAGACCCTTCCATCAGAATCTGCCCTTGGATCAGAAGAAGTGAGCAGTGATTCACGAAAGCTGGTATCCTGCAACAATTTTTGTTACGTCTTTAAGGTGCCACTGGACTCTTGCTCTTTTCTACGGCTACAGACAGTAACACGGCTACCCATCTTGCTCTTCCCAGTACAGAATCAGAACTCACCGTGAAAATGGAGTCCAGCTTCATGAGGGTGCGGTCATGCTTCTCCAGAGGCTGGAGGAGCCCTCGCAGCTTGCTCTCGATCACAAAGCCCTGGAAAGAGAGGGAGAAAAGAGAATTCCTGGGGGGTCTTGGCAGAAAACAGATGGCTGATGCGGTACTAATGCCTTCAGCCTGGGGTTAGTTGGAGGGGCGGGGCATGAAGCAACAGCAAAGCAAGGCCTCAGCCCCAGGAAGTAACATGACAAATGGCCCCCAGACCACCTTCAACCCACCGCCTCATCACACAGGAGCTCCAAGACATGCTTGACGGTTGCTGGTGAGATGGACTCAAGAGTCCGAACTTTTGCTTCGGCGTCGACAGTCCCCTTGAGGTCCTCCTCAGGGGTCACTTCCTTCTCTTCCGGAGCACCGCTTTCCGACTGGATGGTAAGCTCCAGGTCTATTGTGCTTGCTGCAGTAAAGAGCAATGAGGGAGGAGCACTGCAAAGAGACCTCGAGACAAACACCAATGAGCATTTCTGCTTGGAAGACATGTTCCCTTAAACACACTCTTTACAAACAAAAACAACAACAAAAGACATTTCTTAAGGAGCTGGTGTTCCATTCGGAAAGGGAAGAAGGATGCCATCTGCAAGACTTCTGCCGGTAATGTACAGATAAATACAGCATTTGATACTTCATGCACCATTGACATGCTGGAAAAGATGTGGGCAGAATCTGTTGGAATCTTAGGATGGAAAGAGGGGCTGAGGAGACCTTCCCATGGTAAAAGAGAAGGGGCTTCAGCGCCATAGAGAGCTCTTTGCCCCTTCCTATATTTAGCAGGAGCAGAAGAAACAGTGCATATATGTACATCTGCACAACGCATATAAGTTTCGCCTGCAGAAAAATGTGGACTGTTTGACAGGAGAATTCAGCCTCTCAGGGAATCTCCACTTTTGTGTCTTTTGGACAAAAGGCAAATTCTATCCTTCATTTCCAAGAAAAGGTCTCTTGGCTCTTTCCCTTCCCTTGTGACTCCTCCAGTGAAAACCTGAGATCACGGAATCAGAGTTCTTCAAGTATTAAGCAAACAACTTCAGTTGACATCATGTACTAGCTATATGGTTGGGACTGAGTGTCAGACTAGGAATCTCAGATCAGAGGGTAACCCGGGGTACATTATTCTCTGCCAGCCTCCTACCTCAAAAGGTGAAGACAAAAGTCAGTGGTGGGGCACTCTGTTTACCACTCAGAGCTCCTCGGAGGAGGATGGCATAGAAACGAATCGATAAACATAACAAAAGGGGGGGGGATATATACTGTCCCATGTTCTTTGGAATAAAGATGTGATTACACATTTATTGTGATAGTGGAATCTGAGGTCCAATCCTAAACACACTCACAAGCGAGCAAGTCCCATTAAAGTCAGTGGAACTTACTTTTGAGTAAGCATGCTTAGGCTTGTACCACACGTCTCCTCTTTGCAGGATCTGGAGCAAAGCTTTCAGTAGGTAACAACCCTGCCCCTGGCTAGGTGAAGGGACTGGAGGAAACCACTGCTTACTTTCCATCATCAGCACCTCCTGGGCCAGCTCGGTGGCCGATTTCTTCTTCTTGTAATGCATGAGGGGCCCCACGTTGTGCAGAAACCAGCTGTCCGGCTCCAGCCAGGGCAGGCCCAGCTGCTGCATGCTGATGATCCGGTCGGCATCGAGGGCTTTGCGGATCAGCCCCTTGGCCTCCTCCTCATTCATCAGCCACACCTCCAAAAAGTGCTCGGCGTCCACGATGGCAAAGTGTCTGCGTCAAAAGAAAAGGGAGGCTTTGCTGCATGCAGCTTCCTGCATCCAGCTGGAGACAAGGCCACAGACTCCAGCCCACTGTCCCTATGAGCTGCTGGGGCTGAGCCCTGGAACCTGCCTGTGGTGTCAGGATACGATAGGGTGTCCATGGGCTGGATCCAGCCCGCTTTTTCCACTGGAGAAAATGGGAGGAGAAGGTCCCCTTGACCATCAAAAAGACCTGTGCAGGCGGGGCTGGGGGTAAGGAGGGAAATTAGGTGAGACTGACTGAAAATGCTGGCTGGATCCAACCCCAGTGTGCTTGCAGCACTTTCTCCCTGCCAAAGCACGCCTTCCTTCCCTGCCGCAGAGCAAGGCCACCACACCTCATGGTCCTCTGCAGATCCTTATACTGCTCCACGATGCGCTTGTAGTCAGCTGTCAGCGTCTGGTTCTCCTCGCGGTACTGCTTGATCTGCTTGGCCAGCTTCAGGCGCAAGTTGTTGAGCACATCATGCAACCTGAAGGAGGACAAGGGGAGCTGTAATGGATATGGAAAGCACCCAAGTGAACCAGCACTCAAGGGTGGTTCGAGCTAGGAGTGTCGGAAAGAGCCAGACTCCCACCGTGCCTGAGACAGCCCCAGGCGTCCAGTCCTGCCATCCTCAGGAAATGGAAGGAAATACAACCCAACCAGGCAGTTAACCATGAGACAGCCAGCATCTCAGCATAGGCTCCCTCTCCGCCCCTGGACAGTTACAAGGCCTAAAGTCCGGGGGGGGGGGGTGGATGGAATGCACAGCCTGATGACCCAATTGCCAGCCATCAGAAGAGCTTCCCAAGGACATGCACACCGTAGGCACAATCCAGGACATCCCCTCTCCAGGACAGTGATCCCAAAAGGGAGCACAGAGGAAACCAGGGGTGGCAGGCAATGTTCCCTCTAAGCCGTGGAGCCTTGTGAGCAAAAATTCTACTTCATGAGCTGCCGGCATTAAAATTGTGAGCGAGCGATTTGGCTGCTGCATAAATGAGTTGGCTCTGGAGCCGTCCTTCCTGAGCTGAGACAAAAATGTGTGAGCCAGAGGCAAAAAAACTGTGAGCTAGCTCACACTAACTCAGCTTAGAGGGAACACTGGTGGCAGGTATCCTGCTCCTTTACCGATTGAGCTTCCGCTTCTGTTGGGATTTGATAATGGTGTTCTCCTCGTCTCGCTTCTTCAGCACCTGGAAGTTGTACTCCAGCTTCTCTTGGTTCAGCTGGTACGTGGCTTTCATCTGCTGGAGCTGTTGCTCTAGGATCTGGCGTTGCAAAGGAAAAGACTCACTAAGCTGCAGTCGGGACACAACATTCACCACTCATCTTGCGCCCGATGACCACAAATTTTTACATTTTACATTTGCCTCCGCAAAAACGGGAGTCACCAAAAAATGGAAGTGAAAGAGGAAACCTATTCCACAAATTCAGAGCAAGACATGGTGATGTCCCCCAGGTGAAGACATGCAGTGAGCTCTTCCCTGCCCTGGTCAGAACCCAGGAGACTAAGCTGGGAAGGTGAGAAAGGGGATAGAAAACAAATTCAGAGGTTGGGTAGGATTCACGTGACGATCCAGTGCTAGGGGTTCTATGAAAACCACCAGATGAGAATCAAGATATCAGTGATGGAGG